AGCGGTTCGCAATTGCTCTCCCGAAGGTGTAAGGGTTGACTCCGTTCTTCTCGGAAACCGCCTTTCCCGTGTTGGGACTGGGGATGTTCCCTCAAAATGTGAAGTCAGTTGGCCGGGTGGGGTGCAAACTCAAACCCAACATCAAACGGTCACAAAATAGACCAGAAGTGGCCACCACAGCAAGGCCCCCGAGCTCTATTCAAATATCCAACTGCTAACAAACATATCCTTGGGTCTGTTAATCCCATGAGGTTGCCGGACGACCTTGATTGGATCTCGCATCGGTCGTCAATGTGTATATGACTCCTGCTGGTGGCAACTCATGTGCAAAGGGCGTTAAGCCTTTGAGCCACCAAACAAAGATCCGCAAGCCACGGAACGAGGTCCGAGCAAGGCCTCATGGTCTTTTGGGCTCATTAAGGGATCCCGAATGCGAAAAATGCCCCCCTGCCCCCAAATATGGATCAAGTTGCGGGGCAAGTTGTGGGCCCCTGCAAATCTGGCGAACCTGCCCGCACCATGAACTCACCATAGAAGTTCCCACCGCGAATAAAACGCCAAGTTGCCATGGACTTTGCGTCGAAGCGATTCCGCGGCAGGCGCCCAAAGCACAGCTTCTTCATGCCTTGCAAGAACTCCTTGAACCTGAGAAACTCCGACTCGGCTCACATTTGAGGCACACAAAAGAAGGTGCTTGTCAGATTCTGCTTCATATTCTTGCCGGCCACATATGACCTTGTTTTTGGGGAGGGGTTGTGTCCTTTTAAACAAAAATGAGTCGCAGTTTACGGGGCAAAAGGGCACCTGTTCTTGGTCGAATATTTTAAGTACCAGGAACCCTGTGCAAAGAAGAGAAAGGGAATTGGGCGGTGAAAATAATTCGTCCAGTTTCAGCAAACTTGTTCGCCATGAAGAATCCAAAAACTATATAGTCCAGGAATGCGGGAAGTGAGACTCTGAGTGAGAAACATGTGCTGTTCCTTGCGATTCCCTTTTAAAAGGGTACCAAGCCTGTCAAAATGGAGTGTTGGAACCCATCCGATTTTCCAGAACCCCGACTTGGAATCCACTACAAAGGGGACCAAATTAGCCCAAGGTCAGGATCTTGGGGATTGCCTTTGAACAGCCCAAACCAATTGTACTCTCCCTGTACCAATTATACGTACTCCAAACCTGATGTTTGTGCTATCTTCCAAGGTGACTTCAGGATTCCGGGCCTCTGATAATGAATTCCCTGGAGGAACCACCCTGATTCGTAAGGTCCCTGAGAAAATCGCAAGTTGACATTCGCTCTTTCGAGCACAGCTGAAACATGCGAAGCTGCGCACTGGCAAACGCAGGCTCATGGCTGGGACGGGAAGGGGCTTCTTGATTCCGCCCCCCCAAACGATCAGTTGGGGCATCTCAACAGCGACGCTATTTATATACTAGGTCCTCCAGTAGAGAGGATAGAATAAGGGCACCCTTTTTCTCTAGTCTATTTTAGTAGGGGAACCCTCGCAACCTCATCTGCAACCAGGAAGCCGCTGGATCATGTCGCTGTTCAGCTTCACCTAGGAAGCCCGGGCTGGTGGTATGTTCTTTTTCCTGAAGTGCCTTCAGGCGAATGTTCAGGCTTTCAACCCCAATTCTCTAACACCGGAAAAATGAAACACTGGAAATTCACTTATAGGTGGAATTAGGCCTTGCGCACTCACCGCGAAAGGCCAACACGTCAGGACCTCGGGTCAGCTGGTGCCAGGGAGCCGCTTTGACCAGAGGTGTCCCCGCAAACGTCGCGTTCGGTTAAAAAACGAGGAACCCTTCTTGGGAAGTAGGGAACCCACCAAACAAACATGGGTTCAAAGGATGGCGCTGGAATGCGGGCAACTGGCCCGGTCCAGGAAAAAGGCTTCAGTTGCCAAAAAGGGAGAACTACAAGGATAACTCTAAATTATTTGCTCGAGTTCCTGAAGACATCAACATAGTTTCAGTAGTGGTAGATGTCCCTCAATCATTTGCTTTAATCTCCTGGAAACATCCACATGTTTCCAGTACTGGTGGATTCCCTTAAAACCAACAGCGAGAAAACAAACAGCACGTTATTCATTATTGATATTCAGCCAGAGGAGAGGAAGGACGTGTTTTCTTTCGGTGTGACACGGCTGCGACAGAAGTCTCCGCACATGTTTCTGCGCCAAGGGGCAAAGTCCTCCATGAGTTGCCTGCTGTCCGCATCAGGGTCCACCTCGTCCTAAGGCGGCCGGGCAGCTCACAACGCTAAACAAAACACCGCGTCTCACCCCGAAAAAAAGAGGGAAACGCGCGCGCGCGCGTCGAACGGGTCGAGGTTGGTATTTTCCATGGACCCCAAGTGGTTTGAGAGTTGGAAACCCTCTTAGATGCCTCGGGTCTTGCCGCGCCTGAAAAAAAAGCGGCAGATTCCGGCGCATGATTCGCAGCAACAGTGGAAGGGTGGATTCTCATGTCCAGATTGGCGGCTCGAGGGGTCCCCATTGACACAAAATAGGGATGCGTTGCAGCGGCAGATTTCCGAATACTCTACCTAAATCCGGGGTAGATAGGGACCCCTCCATCGATTTTCCGAAATGGTAACATCGGTCGGTTTTTGTTCCCACGTCTGGGCCCAATATACTTGCCGCCAAACAGGGGTCTGACTGCTTCTATTCCCCCAACATGTTACAACAACCTCAAAACCAGAAGTGCAAATTGGACCCCCAAGCAAAGGCCCTACATCATGGGCAAGCTCGTGTTGGCCCTGAAATCCGTGAGCTCCCCGTTCCGAATGGCAGGCCATAGGGGGCATCTACCTCCGTCCCTTCCGCGGCCGCCTGCACAAGGTAGCCCGACTGCGGCATGGTGGTGGCACGGGACACCTCCGGCTGATAGTCCGGCTGCTCCTGGCGCGTTTTGCAGGGATCCGGGTGCATGATACACCCGAACATTGCAACTTGTAAATGGTGGGTTCCCTATATGGCTGTGGCTCAAAAAACCGGTACCAAAATGGAACCGTGGCAAGTGGAAACATGGACCAACACCTGCTGTTTAATTTTGAGCCACGCCCATGTTGGTGAAAAAAGCAACATGTTTTTTAAATGGTTGCAACATAGAGATCTTTTAAGGAGCCCTGCTACACAGTTGGTAGGTGGTTTCCCTACCCAGAGGCTCCTGGCTTCGGCTTTGAATGGAAGACCCAACCCCTCCATTACGCCATTAGACACCCCGGGAATTGGTGGTTGGGGGTCTCAAAACCAGGTTGTTTGAAGGCCCTATACCAATCGTCTGGGTAGCACACATTGACTTGAAATCCATTCCAACTGGTGCATGTGTTTGCCCATCCGCAGTATGGCCGAGCTTTAAACATGTTGAATGGCACGACAATCGTGCAAAGCAAAGCGCTTGGAGAGGAAATCTCAAGAAGAGAACGAGAGACGATCTTTTGACCTGTTGATTTCGTGGTGTGCATTTTTATTTCAGGTGTCCCACATTGGTTGTTGTTTGGTCATACGCCTTTCTGCGAAAAACATACGCGTCAAACCTGCATCAAATGGGCGTGGGTCAAAATTAAAGCACCAGGGGACCGCAGGTTTAAGTCCTTGGTTCCATTTACTAGGGTTCCAAAATGGATACCCATTTTTGTCCCACAGCCAAATGGGCGAATAAGATCTTCATAAGAAGGGGATATAAGCGGTATCTAACTGGGTCCCACTTCAGCCTGGGCTTCGGAGTGTTGCCGTTGCGACCCGATTCGTGGGAATCCCCCCCCAAAAAAAAAACAAAAAAACGCCGCCGGATGTGTTTCTCGTTTTGTTCTTCTTCTTTTTTTATTCAGTGCCGCAGAATCCGCCGCAGGACGGTGGACCGGGGAAGCTTGCAAGCTGCCGCCTTTTTTTGGAGGTTCCATGTGGCTGTGGGTCAAAAGCAATGGGATCCCATTTTGGGGCAGGTGCACCACCCATTTTAGTCTATTTTAGTGATTTTGACCCATGGCCATGTGAGGCCCAAAGTTTGGCCTCCGGATGGAGAGTTTCCACATGCAAAAGGCAGGTGCAGTTGGTTGGCAGAGTTTTACTCAAAGGCTCCAACAGAAAGCAAGAACGATCAGGAATGCCAACCATTTGGCAATCTGGGGTTTGCCGCTCATCCCCAATTTCAAGAATTCTAAAGTTGGCCGGGTCTCGCAAAAATGTACAAGTTGGACAGGCCACACTCTGGAGGAAACAGTTACAAATTATCACTTCCCGAGGACTTGCCAAACAAGTGCAAACATGTTTTTACCCCCAAACCGATCTTTCCCAAAAAGTTTCAAGTCCATGAACCCGGGGACTGAGAATTTGAAGGAAGTGGGAAATGTGAACTGGAGCTTCGGCTTGGTGGACGTTGGAAGGGGAGCACATATGTATTTTTTAGCAGTTAAGTGGGGATTTCCCACTAACCCACAATAAGAACAAATCAAAGTGTTTCCCAACCACAACCATGGTCCGGGTCTTCTGACTCGCGACGTGGGTGCCTCGGGCTTGGCCTCCCAGTACAAAGTGGTGATCTCCGTGTTGCGGTCCTGGCTTCGGTGGCGTCGGTGGCGGGTTTTGCCGGAGGAAACATCGGCGCTGGAGGCGTCCCCGCGAGAAAGGCGGCCTATGAGAAGGAGACACCTCTACTTGAGAGACGCCTTTTTGCACGTATCCCGCGTCCCCCTCCCACCCTCGCCTGTGAAATCCTGTGACCCAAAGCATGCGTCCGGGCAAGATGCAACGCAAGGTTGTGTAAAACTAGCCCAGCCCAGACAAACTAGGAACATCGACATGGCCAGTCTAAACAGCCCAGCCCAACCGGGGCGGGAATCGAGCCCCTTTCCACTTTTCAAACCGTGGACTTTAACTGGACCACCCCTCTTCTTCCATTTTCTAAGGGGGAAAAACAAACACCCATTTTGTGCCCACAAACTTGTCATGCAACCTGGGGAGGGCAACAATCAAGCGACAGCTTGTCCTTGCCCCAATGGTTCCGGTTCCATTTCGTTCCCTACTGGGGTCACCTGTCATAGCACCCAAGCATGGGAGATGCTGGCTTCGCAGGATGCCACTGAACTGAGCGCTGCGAATGGCATACCAGAATGGGAATCCTGGATTCATGCACCCCTCGTTAATTTTGTAGGGGGGGTGGTGTCTCCTTTGAGTGGGAATCCTTCACTTTTGTGGGTGACACATCCCCTAGTAGGATCAGGATAGGATTTCTTCAATCCTTGGTTCCCATGCGCCGTGACCTCAACTCACATGCCCATTGGCTATGGGAAAAAAGGGCATCTTTTTTGGTTGCTTGAGTTTAACGGGAAACCCTTCCCAAAAAGAAGTCGCAAAAAGGGCGCCACTGGGCAACTGGGTCAAGTAGAACCGACTTCTCGGCAGCCCCGCCTTTTCCTGTGGCTTCTCGGAGGCTTCCCTGCCGAGCGCCGGATGCGACGCAACTTGTGCAATCTGGCAAGGGGCCCCGGAGCCCCCCCAAACAGAAAAAAACACATTTTGCGAGGAGTCTTCTTTCGGGACCGCTTTTCTCCCCTGCCCTTGTGTTTTTTTTTTGGGGGGGGGGGGGGAAGTGAACAAAAACCGACTTCTTGGGCGGGAAACCAAGCTGCGCAGCAGGCAGGCGATTGGTACGTGCAGCACCCATTTTTAGCTAGCGGCGAAGTCGTTTTGCTAGTCGGCCCTTGGGCTCCTCTCTCATTCTGCGGATGCTTCTGCTCCTGACAGGTTGCCCCAGGCTTTCAGTGGAGGTCCATGTGGGCCCAAAAGTTGCCCCTTTGTGTTGGCCGCGTGGCCGTTGCTTTTGAAGGGGGTTCTCCCCCTCCAACAAAGCTGGGAAAGGACATTCAACCCACTGCGAAAATGTGAAACCCAAACCGATGAGCCACCTGCGGCAACTTGTAAACCAACACTTGCAGCCTGTAAATAACGTGCACCCGCACAACACACACCATGATTTATGGCGTGGCAACATAGTGGCCACGTAGACCATTCAACCTCTGCGGGTAAGTGTTTGGGGTAGTGGGGACCACCAGTTGGGCTTCTATGGCAACTGGCTGTCCATCCACCAGAAACAAAGAGACATGCGCCTAGGGGAAGCTTAGGGGACATAGGCTTAGACTGCAAGAGGTTTTAGCTAGGGCTCTACTTGGGTTGGTCAAAACAAAAAGCCTTAACCTCCCGTACAGTTTCGACATGGAACCCCAAAGCTCACCATTCTTAGAGGACCCTCTCCACCACCACCACCACTACCACCACAAGCCCTGGAAAAAACAAAAGCAATCTCTTTTTACTTTCATATTTGCCCGACAGGGATTGACTATCAAAGGACCGGAGAGGACCGGCCAGGTCCGGACTAACCCGAAGAGGCCAGCGAAAATACGGATTTGCGGGACATTGCCGACCTTGAGGGGGAATAATGAATAATGTCCCTCGCTTACTTACTTACTTACTGACTGACTGACTGACTGACTCACTGACTGATTGACTGACTTGCTGACTTACTTGCTGGCTGGCTGGCTGGCTGACTGACTGACTGACTGACTGACTTACTTACTGACTGACTTACTGCCTTTCTGCCTTACTGCCTTGCTTACTTACTCACTTCCTGACTGCCTTACTTACTAACTGACTTACTTTCTTACTTAACTAAACCAAGTGTATACAAAGGATGACCGCAAGGTTGACTGAAAAGTTCAGCCCACGTCCTTCAGGACGGCTTCCACCTGGGATCGAAGGGTCCCCCCACCGTCTTCGACTCCAGGAACTCGATGCAGACGTCCCGCACGTCCCAGCGGTACTGCGGCAACACTGCCTCGGCGTCCGTCAGATCGGTCGAGTTATGTGGCGCTGTTCGTCCCGTTTTACTTGCTGCTGCTATTGGCAGGGAATGAGGTATAAACCATCCATTTCCGATTCGGTTTCATTTGAGGGGACCACCCCTGGGTTAGAAATGAAATGACCCCTATAAACCATCCCTGATTCGGTTTTCTTTTGAGGGGACCAAAGCCTGGGTTCATTCCATGTCTCTTTCCCTACTGAGAACCGGCAAGGAAATCTGGGTCAAGGTGGCCCAAACATTAGCCAGTTGATTCCTGTGATCACCTGAAACCAATCCACTTGGTATCACAAGTGGCCCACACCCGACTTCCCAGACTCATGAACGAACGCGGGCAGCAAGCGGTCCCTGCGAGTCTCTTGCAGCTTCAACCCGACAAAAAAACGAAAGGCTGTAGCAGGTGTTGTTCTTAACATATAATAAATAACGACTCGAAAGGGGGTCCGGTGGCTTGGTGTTCGGCGGGGAACCCACCCCTCTACAAAACCAGGGCTTCAACCCCCTCCCCCGAAACCGTGTGAAACTCCAAAAAGAAGTATGGAATAGTTGCCTAACATCCGGACCCAATGATATCCCGAGAGTAGGTTCGCCTGGTTGCTCCCGAAGAAGTATGGGCCTATGATATCCTCATTGCGCATACCGTTAAGGTAGGTTGCAGCGGAGCCTACCTGCTATTTGAGCCCGGGGCAAAGTAGCCAAACGGCTACCAACTAATCAAAGGCCCGGGCCACTGTTCAATCTGTTTCAGGGATTCCTCTTCGAAAGTGCCATCTGATTTGCCGAGCTGTAGGAGGTTCGGGTTCAGATGTTTATGGTGCCCCAATTGACATCAGAATTTGGTGAGAAACTTCCATTCCCAATTGACATCGGAATTTGGTGAGAAACTTCCATATTCCCAAAAAACATGTTGCCAGCTTTGAGCATTTGGCGGCCATTCGTGTAAGGGTCGATTTCCTCTTGACGGCCCTTATTGTTGGCAAGCGTTTGATCCTCCTGGGGGCCGGGGGGGGGGGAGGTTGGCACGGTCCATAGAGAATTAAAAACCTGGGGCTAACAGTCAAGTACCCCGAAATTTGTGATTTGGATTGGTGGTTTAGGGATTTCAACCCCTGGTTCCTGTAGAGGGAAAGTGGGAAACCCCACTTACCCACCAAACCATCAACCCACGCCACAATCTGAAACAGGGTCTATTGAAAAAGACCAGTGGAATACATCAAAAGAAGGCGATTAACTGTCAGTTGATTGCTGGGCCTCAACACTTGACTGTGGGGGCTTGACCCGCAGCGCCTGGAGGAGGTACATGTAGAGCAAGACCCACCCCATGGAAGCGATGCCCCAGGAGAAGGCGGCCAGCACAGAGCGCGCGGTGGGTTGCAGCTCCTTGTGCTGCGGCTGGAGCTGGGTGTTCCGCGTGTCCACGATGCCTCGGGGAAATACGGTTCGTCCCCCGCCCGAAATATATATATATATAGGTATATCTACATATGTATTTGTATATGTTATGCGTCTTTGTTTAAACACGGAAACAAACAACTGATTGAACTAGTGCCCTCTCACCAAGTAACATGGAACCAGACGTTCGGGTCCGGGGGCCCTGGTTTGGAGAATGTTCCTTGTTGACAGGACCCCCGAACGTCAGGTTCCATGGAAAAAAGGGTGGGAGAGTAATTATTAAAAAAACTGGTTGAAAGGGAATGTCAACTGAAAGGCACGTTAACATACTACATTTTACAGGCTTGACAATCGATGCATCCAAGGACCAGCTTCATAAACGAAATCGGCTTCTATATAAAGGGAATCCCCAAACAGTTCATTCCCAACACCCAGCCTCGGTCATTGCCTACCTGTGGTGCCAGCAAGCTTGATGGAACCGTTTCAGCTTGGCTTCAACCTCCCTGCTTCAGCTTCCGGCGAATTGGGGGGTTGGCTTGGTGGTGCTCTTCCGGAGGGGAAACCCCAATTTGCCCTCTGCAAGAGCCAGGAGTTCAAATCCAAATCCAGTTCCCACTAGTTCAATCCACCAAATTGGGGTAACCTGACTACTTGACCCCCCAGCTGTTTTTGCTCGAAGAAACGACGGATCCTTTCATCCTTTTCGGGGCCCAGGTGCTCTGAAGCGGCACCACCGTGCTGAAGACCACGTTGTTCAGCACCTGAAGCCCAAGGAAGCCCAAGGAAGCCCAAGGAAGCCCAAGGAAGCCCAAGGAAGCCCAAGGAAGCCCAAGGAAGCCCAAGGAAGCCCAAGGAAGCCCAAGGAAGCCCAAGGAAGCCCAAGAAAGCCCAAGGAAGCCCAAGGAAGCCCAAGGAAGCCCAAGGAAGCCCAAGGAAGCCCAAGGAAGCCCAAGGAAGCCCAAGGAAGCCCAAGGAAGCCCAAGGAAGCCCAAGGAAGCCCAAGGAAGCCCAAGGAAGCCCAAGGAAGCCCAAGGAAGCCCAAGGAAGCCCAAGGAAGCCCAAGGAAGCCCAAGGAAGCCCAAGGAAGCCCAAGGAAGCCCAAGGAAGCCCAAGGAAGCGTGGCAAGATCTTCCTCCCAGCCCCCTCAAAACATGGCCCTCTCCTCTTGGTGCTCCTCTTGCCTCTAATTTTCCCCTGGCATCTGGCGCCGTTTGGCGGGGGGCAAATATGTTTCATGTGCTTGAAGCTAGTCCATATACATACAAATATATATATATATATATGTATATATGGGACCTTGGAAGGCGCTAACACCGTGACCAAATGCATTTTGCAACGAGCCCAAAACAAAATGAACTCCCGATAGCCCTTCTAAGAAGTTTCTGAAGATTTCTGAAGGATTTTACAGAGGCTCACCAAATCCTTGCCAAATGGAGTCCTACGACTCCCTTCTCAACTGGCCCTTTTGGGCTTCCTGTTGGGGCAAGTCTAAGTCAATTTGAAGCCTTCATCAAAGCCGAGCCCCGCAATATCAGTCGAAATGGGCCAACAATCGCAAAGTCAGCCTCTAGCATGTCGGTTTAAGGGAAGCACCCCCACTTTCTGGCTTTGAGAACTCCCCCGGAAATGGCCAAAATCATGACCAGGCAAAGGCTCCGGGCCCGTCGTTAAGCCCAAGGCGCGAGGATGAACTCCAGCGCCACCGCGTTGAGGATCACGTCCTCAAAGCTGGGGGTGGCGGTGAGCCAGCGGCAGCCCAGCCACAGCAGATAGGCGTCCACCAGGAAACGGGGCAAAAAGAGCACCACCGACAGCGCTACCTGGCACCACTCAAGAATCACCAAGGGGTGGTGGTGTTTGGTGGTGGTTTCGCGCTCTCAAGCATCAAAAAACACTGAGTAGAAGGTAGAAGGTACCAAAGGATGAACTAAGGTTCCGCTGGGGAGAAAACTTGATGTTGACATAGGCACATGTGCCTGATTGAATGAAGGCACATGTGCCAAACCACGTTGCCAGTCACAACTTGGACCAGTCCTCCATGTGCGTTCTTCGTCCCCTGGCGAAGACTAGAACATATTCCCAGTAGTGTGACAAATGCCCTTTGAAACCAAGAGGGGAAAGCAATCTAGCGGCTGTCGATCCAAACGTTCATGCACTGGGAGGCAGATTTCCATCCGGGACACAGTCCATTGTCAGATTCATTTCACGTTTAGCCAACCCAATGCACTCTGCCTCCCCCGCCAACTTCCCCACAACAGTCCCCGCAAGTTCAAATAAACACGGCTTTCCATCTTTCTAACTAGATACTAAAAAAAAGTGTGAGCCCTCCAAATTTGTTGGTGTCCCCTTGGAATAACAGTCATAATAATACGTTCATGTCACGAATAATGATGATACGAATAAATAACAACGACAATCGCAAAGCACAGTGAATGAAAATATAACAACAACCATAAACATACTATAAGAGCAATAGTGATAATCATAAACGAAGAATAACAATGAGTCATACGTAATGATAACCATATACTGAAACAACCAACAAACAAACCGTCACTCCCTTTCTCGCGAGAACATCAGTTCGTGCCCACCGCATCGTTTCTTGTTTTTTTGCTCTCCCCCCCCGGCGCGCCCGAGGGCCCCGATGCATTTGGCAAGCGCGGCGCTTGCCCGCGGGCAAGCGCGGGCAATGGCCTTGACGGGCATGGTGAGCCCCACGATGACCATCTCCTCGGAGCCTTCCACGGGCTCCATGGAGTTCTTCATGGACTCCACCGTTGGGGTGACCTGCGCCGACCGAAGGCGACCGCCCCGGCCCCAAAGGCCCCGAGGTTTTTAGGGCCCCAAAAAAGGCTGGTGGGGAGATGGTGAGGGGTGGGGTGGGGTGGGGTGGGGTGGGGCGGGGTGGGGTGGGGTGGGGTGCGGTGGTGCCACCCCCCCAAGGGCCAGCGAGTGGTTTGGGGGTGGGAGCTGGTGAGGTGACGGGCGGGGTAGCTGAGGTGAGGTGAGGAATGGCCAAGTTGGGCGACCAAAATCTTTGGTGGCTCCTGTTGGGACCTCAAGTGGGCAAACCAAATCTGCCAAAGTTGGGAAAGCCACACGCTTTTTTGTGGCAGGTCGATTTTGAACAAAGGTCGTTGAAAGCATATTTCGAAGCGTATCTGGAAACAACAACTGTGGCCCGACATCGTGAAGTTTAAACTTGGCTGAAAGGAACATGCGAGGACGCCTGTCAAAAGGGGGGGCGCCGAAACGTGTAATAGTTGAAGTGGGTCCGTTGAGGTGGCAAATGTTTGTGAGGTGTTCTCCAAGAATGTGTCGGTTGGAAGTCAACATGGGGATCGAAACTGGTCCAGGGGTCACCCACTTGTAACTTGTCTTAGCCACGGTTGTTTAACCTGGGTCCCTTCTAATGGTTACATGCTCACGGGTGACTTTCAGGATGCCTCTTTGGGCCTGGCCTGCCGTTACAGAATTCCTGGCATCTCCTCAGCTCTCAACCATAACCTACAGCTAAAGCCTGTGGGCTTGCCCTTTCAAGGGCACCAGGGGCAGCTTCCTTCCAAGAGGGTTGGAGATTGTTTGGTGGTGAAATGGAGTGGTTTCCCAATTCTCCACAAGAACCAGAGGTTCAAATCCAAATCCCACCAATCCAAACTACCCATCAAGAACCTCCCTGGCCATTTCTTGCCGCAAAAAACGGGGAAAAAAAAGATCGGCCGGTGTTGCCTTGGCCACGCGGATCCACATGTCGAAGGTCTTCCGCATGTCTGCCACCACGGTGAAGGTCCAAATGGTGAGCAGAGTCATGAAGAAGGTGGGCTGGGACAAAGGGATCTGGCACACCTCCGGACAAACCAAAGAGAAAGCCTGGGAGCTGCTCAGATATCTGGGGGAGCGGTGCCTTTTTGTGTTTTTTTTGGTGGAGGGGTTTTGGATTTGGGGGAGCAGTGCTGTCTTTTGATTTGTTGGGAGGGGGGTTTGGCAAACTCGGGGTTTTGCATGGGCGAAACCTAAGATACCGGCCGGGTAGAACAACACCCAACTAGATGTCTCGTCTTGGGACCGGAACTGGCTGGATCATGCGAAGGTCGTGCCCAAACTGACCCATCCAAGAAGCGCGGCTCGCTTTAGATGGTTCCCTGTCCCCCAAAAACGGGGTTCCCGTGAGCAAGAAAGGGGCATCTGATGGCCGTAGGGGGTCGCATTCCGCAAGGGGATCCTGGGCTCCAATTCACCTTCAGGCTCAAAATCGGATTTGCTGAGCTGTGCCAAATCTTGAGGCCTTAGTGACTAGTTTCGCTTTGCGCTTCCCAGAATCACTTGGCCCCTCTGGGTTAGAATGGTCAGACAAGGCCACACAGTCCATTACAAACCACACCCTGCAAATTTGATGCAAACAACCACCAGCTTTATAAGGATTCCTGTAAATTGCATGCGACATGGAGGGACGTCTTTTGGTTGATATTCACTGGGAAACCAAAACTAAGCGCACCATTTCAGGGGACAGATTCCTATTATGAAAAAAAACAATTGGTTGTGGGTCAAGATATGTACCCAAAATGGAACCCTGGTAAGTGGAAACATGGACCAAAGCCTGCGGTCCAATTCCTGGTGGCTTAATTTTGACCCATACCCAAATCTACCAAAAAGATCCTCTGCTTTGCTCGCTCCTGCTCCTTCTGCTCTTCGTCCAGGAGCTCGAAGTTCTTCGGGTTGAAGTAGGGGTCCCTGCCCCTGTGGAACCCGTTGGCGGTGCGCGCCATGCGCGAGGTGTCCTGCGAGAAAAAAAAAAAAACAAAAAACAAAAAAAAAAAACAACGCGGTGCCCCATGGTCCAAAGGGGGGGGGGACTCTGCAGCTGGGTGGCGTCATCTTGAGTTTCCCTTGAACGCCATCCCGCAAAGCTTGGTTGACGTTGGAAGGGGAGCAAAAGTTTAAGTTTTAGCAGTTATGTGGGGATTTCCCGCTAAACCACAATAAGCAACAAAGTAGAATGTTTCCCAACAACAGCCATGAAAGGGTACCCTCATAGAGTGCGATTGGAACAAAATGTCATCGCTCACCTGTGGGACTTGTCTCTGCCTTATCCATATCTCCCAGGTGAGCTTGCGATTGGCAAGCTGGAATACATAGTGTGGAGCAGTTGCTGAGACTGAACACCACGGGCGATAGAGCACTGCTCTAGGGAGTAGTAGTAAAGGGTTTCCAAGACGCCAGAGGGATGGAAACCAATACAATGGTTGTACAAAAATCTGGATTTATGATACAATACATAAATACAGCAAAATGGACGCCATCAGAATGATGGCTTACCCCTGATAGACCTCCCGATTTGGAGACACACCGCTTCATCGCTTGCAGTTCCGTGCCCCGCCCTCATAGTGGGGCACAGATTTTGCCTTGAGAGCGAGGGTAGACACAAACACACCAGCACACACACACACACATCCCCATGTTCCTTTTGCATAAGTTCTTTCCAGCAGTGATAGATTCCCTTTAAACCAAGAGGGACTTCTTCTTTTTGCAACGCGCAAAAAGAAAAACGCCATCTGCAAACCCGCGGGTCGTTGCCATACATGATGATCTCGTATTGGTCGTAGACCGTGCGGATCTGATTCACGGCCACCGAGGTCACCAGAGCTTTCAGGCTGGCCATGAGGTAGACCTCCCACAGGCAGGGTAGCAGCAAAAATCCTATTTTGTGCAGCCGCCCCAGTAAAAATGAACGGAACCAAAAAGCCAAAAGAAATAACAAAGGTATGACAAAAACAGTGAAGAACTATAGAAATAAATGGTCACTCCCCGGCAGCTCAACATGAAGCCCAACAAACGGCCCGAGGGATATCTCCTTTTTGGCGACTCCCCAAATATTGGGCTCCACGTGAATTTGCAGTTTTGGGACCTCGAAAAAGTGCGACCAAGGGAAAACCCAAAGCTGAAGAGCGTCAAAAATTGACTTTGGAACACCTGAGGCACCGTTGGGGACCACTCCTAACATCTGTTCGATAGGAGCCTTTAAATAAGCATGTTGTCAAACACGTACTATAGAGGGGATTGAATAGTATAAGATGTTAACCTTTTGGGGCCAACAGGTCGATTCGCTTTGTCAGCTGAGTCCTCATGATAAGGGGGAAGATATTGTTGGTGAAAAATTGCCAAACCTCAAATGTGGTTTCTCTCCATTGGAGACTCAGATAAAACCTCCGGAATTTTATGCCCCCATGCTTGGGCGGGGGGGTCCCCTTTGAACACTCATAGCCCAACAGGAGGCAATGAAGCTCTAAACATGCAAGGTTTGCTTTGAATCCCGTTGCCCCAATTGTTCTCCCCAAAAGGCACTTTGATGAACAAGCCCACCCATCACTGTACCCTTTTGAATCCCTTTTGAAGGTTTTCCAATGGGATTTTAGTTGTGCTTCATCGTGTGGGTTAGGGATATGGGTTTGTCTCCAAGGGATTCGAATCCCGTTGGTGGTTTGCCCCGAACTTCCCCTGCACCGTTTGCCATGCACCCCAAAAACATACGGCCCCCGGCCAATGCTTTCCTCAACTGCCCCGAGGAGATGAAATTATAAAAAAGGTTCGCATTTCGGTACCTTCACGAGAATAGACCAAAAAGGTTGCACGCACATAGTAGCCAAAACCGATCCAGGTCGGGTAGCTAATTATTTGTCTTGCTCAGAAACCGTTATAATTTTGACAAAGTTGCACTTTTAGTCAACTTATTTATACCTAACAAAAAATACAGCTTACTGTGGGCGGGGGGGTGGTCCGTGACTTTTAGCAAAAGCTGGTTGGAAAGGCCGACTCGCGTTGGGCAACTGTTTCACAATCAAAACCTGGCATTACAGGAGTCTCTCTCGATCGTTGCTTCGCTTACCCGGTTTTGAGCAGGTGGCTGTGGGTCAAAAATAGGTACCCCAAATGGAACCCTAGTAAGTGGAAACATGCACCAAAACCTGCGGTCCCCTGGTGGTTTGATTTTGACCCATAGCCAGGTGGCTTCACTAAGGTTACAACGGAGCAACGGAAAGGCTGCTCAATGTTTCCCTTGTATCATCATCCCAAGGGACGCTCACCCAAAATAGGCTCATGAGGTGATGCCTTTAGAAGACAAGCCCCAAAAAGGTTACCCCGAAAACAGTGACACACGGCTGTGGGTTAAAAATAGGTACCCCAAATGGAACCCTAGCAAGTGGAAACATGGACCAACAGCTGCGGTCCGATTCCTGGTGGTTTAATTTTGACCCATAGCCACGCCTATCTTTGGAACAACTGGAACCAGACTTCTGCCTGCAGCACGAGCGTGAGCACCAGGATCATGACTGAGACCCCCATCCTCGCCAGCATCAGCCCCGCGGTGGAGTAGCCCTCGCAGGGTTCTTACATCTTCAATACGGAGCAAAAACAGGGGGATGACACGGAGGTTATTTCAAATTAACAAAAAATGTGTTTGTCTTTTTTAGGTTCGCTCCCCCCCTTCCCCCGGAAACAAAAAAAAGAAAAAAAACTGGTTTTCTGCTGGTGTCCCTTCAAAAGCACCAAAGAAGTACGCTCAAAAAAGACACACCCACGCGGGTTTAAAAGTGCTGGTGGGTAATCAATCCCTGTAATCAAATCGGCCTTCATCCATCCCAACTGCCGATCGGCATGAGTTCTGTCCATCCGCGATATATCGTTTTTTGTGATGAAAAAGCCTGGGTCGCCCAGCACACAAGTTTCCGGCCTTTCGGATGAGTCACACACCGCACCGCGAAAGGTGCCCCGCAACCCGCATGCCTTGCAGTAGGACCTGGAGTCCCTGACGATGGAGGCGATGGCGAGGCCGTACAAGTCCTGGGACCAAGTGGTGGCCCCCGATTGTTGTTTTCCACTTTCCAACGTGGGTTGTTCATGGGGCTTTTTTCATAGGTTTCCCAGGGGGAGCAGTATTTTTCATGGGTTTCTCGCAGGTTTCATGGTTTGTCATGGTTCTTCATGGTTTTTCATAGGTTCCCATAATCAACGCGCCGGTTTCTGTCGCGGGTTCGACCCAGCCTTGGGCCTAAAACAACCAAAAACGTTAAAATTGGACCTGCGGGAAAAGGAACCTTGTGAGAACCGTCGACCCCCGGCGAGCTCGCCAATCTGGCGAGCTACACTTTGGTGGGACTTGACATCTGCCAAAAAAGCACTCCAAAGGGAACTCAAAAAGGAACATTCTTTCCTTGGGCCCCATAGATTGGGCTAGCGTGCATGAATCTTTTTGCTCTCTGGCACTCAGGTGTTCAAGTTGAAGTTAAGAGAGAAAAAAACGTCATCATCCCAAGCCAGGGCGAGTGATTGAAGGTGCCGTACAATCGAAGCCTCCACAAGAGAAGCCAGCTTCTTCGGGTCTCAAGTCCCCCCCCTTACTGTTTTTGTTGGAATCCAACTGCTTTGGTGAACGGTGCAAAAACGGGACAACACCCTCCAAAAGACCAGTATGAAAATCACCCCCAAGTGGTACAAACCACCCACCAGCTTTTCTGACTTTAACCCCCAGAAATGCTCAAACATCACGATCATAAAGAAACCCCCATGGCTCCACCAAGTGCTAGGTTAAACTATTATCAAGCAAAATTGTGGTCAACAAAAATGGGACCAACCATTTGAGTTACACTCATCTTGCTAATTTGTTGGTCAAACAAAACATTTGACCCCAAACAAAACCAACAAATCCCAGACAAATAAAAATACCAACGCAATCATTGACAGCAGGTTGTTTTTAAACTGCGGCCGGAAACAAAAAAGAAAAAACAACTATCTACTGCCCCTTGGGCAGTAGTTGGAGGGTGCTGGCTCCGGGTTTCCTGACAAGATGCTTTTGCCTCTGCGTTTGCTTCGCCGATTTCTGTCAAGAGCACGCAGCTAGCCACCAAAAATGGAAATGCCAGCAAGGAACTTCAGAAATGACAAAACTCCCAGTGCTTTCTAAAAATCCCAGAAATGAAAAAAAACTAAAAATCCCATGGCTCCGGGTTTCTTTTTATACTTTTCCTCCTCGGGGTCAATCCAAGGCCTCTCCTCCTCCAGTGCCTCAGGGCCCACCTCTTGAGCCTTCAGCTCCTCCGCCTCCTCCCCCTCCGGCTTCTTGGCCTGGACAAAGAGGTAACCAACACGTCCATCGGCCCCAGCGAAAAAAATGCGCCAGACATGAACTCCTTTTGGGGGAGGGGATGTCCACTGGGAGGGGCCTGAGAAACCGAAAGAGGCAAGGACCAAGACGTGCATTTGGCTAAGGCTCCTCCTCCTGCGCGACAAAGGCTCGAGGACAAGCGAACCAACGCCAAGAACTACTCCACTACACATTCACGTGCTTAGTCCTCCATTTGGCGGCCCCAGGAAAAAAACACCAGTCATGAATTCCTTTTGGGGGAGGGGATGTTCATTCCTTCCCCTTAGGGAGGGGAGGGGGAGGGGAAAAGACAAAAACATGTCCAGTAGTGCTGAATTCAGCTTTTAAGACCAAGGGAAAATAAAGGATATTCCTTTCAGCGAGTGGGCTGGCCCAAGAAGTCTCCTAAAATTGGTTCAAAGCCAACAAGTTTTAAGTCAAAAGGTTTGGTTACAGGAAAATCTATAGGATATGGCCCCAAAACACCCTAAAAACAGCTGTTTTCCTGTAGATTAAGTCCATAAACTCCAGAAAACAATATGGCGCCCAAACAACTTGTATAGTTCGAGGGTATTAAGGCTCCCTTCCGATCATGTGCAGAAGGGCCACAAACCAAAGGCCAGGCCAAACGAAAAGGCTTGCACCCGGACAGAAGATTCCTCTACAAGTCTTTGCAGTTTGGGGTTCCATCTTGAACTGGGGAAACACAACCCCCAAAACCAAACTTCCTCGGACCTGGCCTTGAGCAGCGTGAAACTGCTCAGGCACAGCAAAGAGAAGGCCAGCATGATCAGGATCAGCACCTATACGGAGCCCCCAAAAGTAGAAAACAGCCCCTTCATGCAGTTTCCCTCTTGGTGTGTTGGATTGGTGGATCTGGGAGGTGTTCCGGGGTGGTTTCCCATTGACCCTCTAGAACCAGAGGTTCGATTCCCCAAAGCATTCATTCAAACCCACGAATTCGGCCAAGTCGAACTCACTTTTACCGGCCGATTTTTACAGGGTCCCCTCGCAGAACAGGCGGTTTTGGAGATACATTATTCAGCGAACCCCATCATGGGCGTCCTTTAAAAAACCAACCGGAACAGCCATCAGCCATGGGCTTTGCATTCAAACCGGGGCTCGCCTATGGGGTGCTTTCAGTTGCGTGATCTCGGGGCACTGAAGTAGCCCTTTAAACATGGCCCCAAACCAACGGAAGTTCTGATTTGAAGCCTGGGTTGCTTTCTGCTCCCCTGCTAAAAGTTTAACCACTGGTGGTTTAATGGAAAACCCATTAGTTGGCAAAAAGTTAAAGTCCCAACATCCCTTGGCAAGATGCACCAAAGAAGCGTTCTAGCATCGAAACAAGCCCTCAAAATGTGTCAAGCTCAATCCCAAGCCTCCTGGTTTGTGATGTGCGAGTCAACCCCGATAGCTGGCTGGTGCGATAGGTCGGGAATGTGGGAATGAACCTGGAACCCCAAAAGAAACCACCAGTTGGGTGGTTTATAAAGGTGGTTCATTCCCTGCCTATCGCACCAGCAAGTTTCATCATCTTTACTCAGTTGCGTTCTGCTCCAATGCGAAAAGTTTAACTTTTAGCGGTTTAATGGACAACACAGTGGTTGGCAAAAAGTTGAAGTCCTAACATCCAAGCAAAATATGCAGGGTCAAAATCCAAATCGTACCTCCAGTGAATATGGTGCCTTTGTTTTTGACCCACAGCCATGTTGGAAGCCCCAAATGAGACAACCGAGTAATAAGCAATTCAAACGGTGTTTGGCACTCTTGTTCACCAGAATGATGAAGAATCAAACAGTGCAATTGGTCGTTTCACAATATCGAAGCAGCTGGGACAACAACACGCAGCCGGCATGGAGTTGGCATCATTGCGTTCTTTGGAAGGGAAGCCCTCCGCCACAAACGTGTGGTCAAAACTGCCACGACAAGTGTGTCACTTTAAGAGTTCCCTTCCAGCCTAAACCCCAATTCCCCTAACTGTTGATGTTCAACCCATGAGGGAGGTCAGTGGTCAAAAGACCTCTTTAGCTTTGCTGGGAATGGTGAACCCTTTGAAGTAAAGAAAACAACAACCAGTTGCCGCAACCATGTAATGGTTGATCAAAGGCTCCTTGACATGGGATGGCCATTGGAGGAAACCACCACAAAGATGATAGTTCAACTAAATGGGCAAAAGCTACCCCATGAACTAGAAAACAACAACCATTTGCCGAAACCATGTGGGATGGTCAAGGCTGGGGGCTTTTAATGGAATGAGGAACCAAGGAACCCACCAAAAAGATGATATTTCAAGCAAATGGGGAAAGTTACCCCCTCAAAATCTGGGGGCCTTAAATGGGGCCTTTCGATCGCCTTGAATGGAAGTTCGATCCACTCCCCTCGCCTCTCTCTCTCTCTGCGCGTCTATCTGGCTGTGGGTCAAAACCAATGGTACCATTTTAGAGTGCGTGCACCACCAAATTTAGTCTATTTTAGTTGGGATTGGGTCCCGTTCCCGGGGGGTACGATTTGGATTTTGACCCATGGCCATCTCTCTCTCTCTCTCTCTCTCTCTTTAGCCGCGGTGCCGGGAACAAGGCCCCCAGCTTGGCCTTGAAGAGCAGAGTCCAGGCCTTGGGTGACGTGACAGTTCCCCTCGCCCCTCGCCCTAGGCGCGTGCCAGAGGGGGCGATAAACCCCATCCAAGCCAGTGGAACAAGAATGGGAGGGTAAACCAAAGAGTTGGTGGCCTTTTTAGCTTGGTTTGGTTAAAAATAGATGGGTTCCACCGGCTTGGATGGGGTTTATGCCATCCATTTACAAGGGAACCCCCATGGGTTTTTCCAGTTTCTGCCAAAAATAGATGAACATGGAACCTAACGTTCGGCTCTGGTGTGAACGGAGGTGCATTTTCCGGTAGGTAAGTCAGTAAAAGGCGACGTCTGATTGCCCTCCCACTCTTTTTACAGGAAACCTGACGTTCGGGAATGGGCCCCTTAAAGGAAAATGCCCCAACCAGGACCCCCGAACGTTGGTTTCCATGTTCATGAGGGTAAACTTGTTGGAGGGTTACTCGGAAAGTGCACATGCCCCAAAAAAGTGTAAACTTTGAGCTTTGAACCTGCTTTTGGTTCAGTTTGAAAGCTGGGGGAGACAGATGTTGACCTCACTCGCCCAAAGCACCTGGAAACAAAAGGTTCACCTCTTGGCGCCACACAAAAAATGGGATGAACACCAAAATGAGACAACCAACAAGGGGGTCATTTCAGGTCGCTTCGCTTTGGAGAACCCAGTGAAGCCAAGCCAAGCCTTTTTCGGCTCTGCGAGCGCGCGCCAGCGTTCAGCTCGAGCGGCGTTGTCGTCGATGGCCAGAGGGCCCTTGGGGTTCGCCGGGTACAGCGTGGTGCCGGGCGCCTCCTTGGGCGCCTCCGGCGCCTCCCGAAACGGAACGCGGGACGCCGCGGCGCGCAACGCCGCGCGCCACGTCGTCGAAGCAGGCCGCTGGGGAATTTTTTCTTTTCCCCTGCTGGGAGGCGAAGAGCGATCTTTTCTTCTTTTCATTTCTTGAAGCCCTGGGTTCAAATAAAACCAAAACAACACCAGGGTGAGGCAACACTTCTCTTACCGCAAGGTGTTGTTTGAATGCTGGCTTCATGTTTACAAAAAAAAAAAGGACTCGCCGCCCCGAGAACTCCCACCTTTAGCCATCCGCAGAGCGGCAGGAACTCCAAATCGCTGGTGGCTTTGCGGGATTCATATTCGCTGAAACGCAGAGTAGACACCAGGCATCTCTCCAAAGCCCAAGTCCGTTGACGGAAATTCTTTGTGGTGTAAGGGTAACCCTTTGGGGGTTGGCGGAAGGGACATCTACAAGAATAAAACCATTGGAGGGTCCCCTGTTTTGACCTATGCAGTATCTACTGAAAGTACTACGCTTCACAAACAGCAAACAAGGAATCCCATTGCTTGCGGTGAGCTCGTGTTCTCTTCGATGGATTCGATTCCTAAATGGGCTGCTTGGGTCCCATGGTTGTTAGAGTTTGCTGGCTCTTCACTCGGCTGCTAAAAGTTTAACTTTTAGTGGTTTAATGGAAAAGCCATTGGTTGGTGTCACATTAACCCTCTACAAAAGCCGGGTTCAAATCCCCCAACCACCAATCCAAACCACAAATCAAGGGTAAGCTGAAATTTCATTTACTACAAGGGCCTAGACAATGGGATATGGCGGGATTGCGGGGTACCTTGAAACCAAAATGAGCAACTTATCACAAGGTAAAAGCATGTGTGTTTGCTTATGTGACCCCTTGCAAGTGATTCTCCCCACCTGGTTTCCCAACCGAGAACGAACATCTTCAGCACAGTACTGGGCTGCTCTCAAATCGCCTGTCACTTTTGGAATACGAAACCGCCTAGAAACAGCTAAAACCCGAAAGACTTGAGAAATCGGTCATTAGCGAAAAGTCCAGGAGACCAACCAGCCAAAAGCCATTTGGGGGAATTCCGGGTGGTTGTGGTTTGTGGGTTTCCCGGTTTCCCTGGTTTTCCTTTAAAACCGTCAGCATGGTTTGGACCCCCCTGACCCTAAGCCACAGGGATGGCTTGCGAAAGTCTCCAGCCTGTTCCTCCACCTCGTGCCCCTCTGACGCGAACTCGTGCCTTGGCCATTGTGTTGAAGCTATGGAAAATACCTCTGAATAGAAACTCCAGGCGGTGGGGGGGGGGGGTGGCATGTTTTTTGTCCCCTCCTTTTTTTTCTGACCTGCCCAAGGACTTTTTTTGACCTGGTTGCAGGGGTGGCGGGGTTCCCAAGCACCGTTTTTGAAGCTTCCCCTACACATCAAGATTGGTTCTCAGTCCGTAGGAAAAGTGGCTGAGGTCATCCAGTGGCTACAATTTCGATTGATTGACTTCCGGCTCCCGCAAAAGCCGTGAGAAGCGGCACCAGACGAAAGAAAAGCAGCGCGTTCGAAGCTGGTGAGCGGTCCCAAAAGTCCTTTAAGGCAGGCCCAAGAGGTCGAAGCATAAAGATAGGACAAACAAGACTTCATGGGGGCTTGGGGGGACGGGGGGTCCCAATAAGCCCCAAATAAGGCCATATTAGGGGCTTAATAAAAGCTTATTTGGGCTCCCTCCCCTCCCCTCCCTCCCCTCCCTGCCCCCAAGCCCCCGTGAAGACTTTTAACGGCCAAAGGAGATGCTAAGCAGCCAAGCCACATCTGGGCAATGCCCTGGTCGGCCGCCAGCACGTGTTGGCCGTGCGCCCGCCGGGAGAGCTGCGCCTCCCCAAAGGCGTCCACCTTGGCCTCCACGCGCATGATGCGCTCGGTGTCCGTGGCCGCTGCCACGGACAGAAGGAGCCTCTGGTCGAGTGGTCGAGTAGAAAACCGTCCCATTTGCTGTAGGGTTTTGGTTTAGGTCTTAGGGTTTCTGATGGTTTCTGGCAAAGCAAGGCTCCAGGAAAACCAACCAACTCTCCACGCCTCAGGTTTTCACGGTTTACTTGCTGGTGGGATAGGCTGGGAATACGAAAGCGGATCACATCAAACACCTCCATTTGCGTTTTCGACCCCTGGAGAAAAAAAGAAGCATAAATATGTCCAGTGATGAATTCCTTTTGAAAAACCAACAAGGGAAAATGAAACATAGTCTTAAGCAAATGGAAGAAACTCGGCAAGTTCTTCCCAATGCGACAGAATTTGGGAGACAGGAAAGGAAACAAAAAGGCCAACCACCCTTCTTCGCGTTCACTGTTGGCTGCTTCCGTACTGGTTTTGAAGTTTAACACAAAAATTGGACAAACCTAACAAAAACAACACAGCAATGGAAAGCCGCAAAAGGCAAAAAACAAACTGAACAGCCCAAATAACTTGAAGATATCGGCCAAGGAGCCATGCCACTTTGCTCATGGCGAACATGGACAAGAAAAGGTGCTGGATGTCACCCAGGGAGGCAAACAACTATAGCTATATACATCTGAGCCAAAGTTTTTCAGAGGCGCGGCAGACATCCTTCTTCGAGCGCTCAAAAAGTGGGACCTGAGGCTGTGGCATTGGAGCGGGCGGCTACCCTACGAGCCAACATGGGTTTGTGCACAGACTGTAGAAAGACGACTTTCCTCTTGGTGAGTTGGCCTTTTTGCACAAACCCACGTTAGTTGGTGGAAGGGTATGCATTTTACACCCATACAAGGGCCTTGCGGCTTGGCTTTCTTGGGTCCATCCGACACCCGAATCCGCTCCCAGCACCCAGGGCCTCCTTAGGGTGAACTTTAACCAATACAACACAGGTAAAACTACCGGGGTTTCACAGTACCTGCCCACCAATTAACGTGGAACCCGACAGGGGGTCCCTTTAAAAGGAAGATGGTCTTCCAGGACCCTTGTCGGGCTCCATGTTACTTGGTGGGAGCTTGGGCTTGACACGCTCCGAATGGGCTGTCCCGCATATGAGCTCTCGCTTCGATTTCCCTTTCAACCTTGAACCAGTCCCAAAAGACACCCCCCCCATTCAGTGTGTGTGTGTGTGTCAAAAAAATAACAGACCCCAACATTGCCAGTGTTCATGCTGACGTCCCTTTCAACCACGGTAATCCAAGGGCGACGTTTGAAGGAACTTCTCACACTCAGCTCACTCACTCCAAACTTGGTTGACATTGGAAGCGGAGCGAAAAAATGAATTCTAGCAGCTAAGTGGATTTGGATTTCAACCACTAAACCACAAGAGGCAAACATGTAGAATGCACACTCTTTCAGACTAACATGGAAGCTCCCAGAAGGCCTCTGTAAATGGAGCCAAGTCTTCGAAATTGGTCTTGGGAGCTTCCATGTTAGCCTGGCGGAGGGTATCCCAACAACAACCATGCAACTGATCTGTCCGGATCAGCCCACCATCGCCTGGAGCCGCCGGAGAGCTGACGCGAGACTTGCCGGGAGATGGAGCCCGACGCGCAGAGCTGGCGCTCTTTCAGCGCCTCCAACAGCAGCTCCTCACATGTGACTGGGTGGCTGTAGCGACCAAGCTGCGAAACCGTGAATACCCTCCCACCCATAGGTGTCCTTTTTGGGAAATAGATGGCCCTGGTAGTTGATTGAACCCCCAGGTAAACCAGGGCCCCAAAAACACACGCCGTGGGTGTGAAACCATGACCCGAGGGTTTGCCATCCTGACGTACCATGTTAAGGGATACCAGGAAGGTGGCCCGGTTCAAACCGCATGTTCAACCCCGGCAAGGCCTGATTCCGGCGCCCTGAACTTCAAGCTGTTCTGTCAATGCGGGTGCAGGTGGACTTCTAGCAAACAAATAGAACCAAACTGAAATGGGAGACAGCGAGCCCGAAACTCTCCCGAGAAGGCAAAGACGTGTGGATCATCCGCTCTGGGGCTTGTTGTTGCGCAGCTCGCCCAAGCCCCCATGTAAGGGGAAGGGGTGAGAATAAATGGGCGTGGTCTTTTTTGGAGGGCACCAACTTGCGGTCGATGTTAATAGGAAACCAGAAGCAAACCTCTTTTTTTGGAGGTTTCCAATTGACACAAAAACACAAATTGAATTCTGCAGGCCACCTCCCCTTGATGAAGTCCACCAATCTGGCAATCCCACTCCCACTGGATCTGTGAAGTCTGGTCTTATCCCAACGGGTTTCGCGTTCCATTTGCGCTCCCTTTCAACCCCAAAACAGGGGTTCAAAATCCCCCAAACTCACAACGAACCATACCCAGCGCCACGTCGAGATTTCCAAAGACGCGAAAGCCCACTGTACGACAACTGCGTTTTCCCTCGGCAAACCTCGCGCCGCACAACCCAAATCCCACCTGGTTTTTCTCGAAGCCGCCAATCTCTTCAAAGGCGTCGAACGGGTCTTTGCCTGCACAGTGGGCGCTTCTCAATCTGCAGAGAGTCTCTCTAAAAATATGGCGAACACATGCTGACCCCCCTCGCTCAATCCACCCAAAAACGGCCAATTCCGTCAATCCACCCCAAAACAGCCATTCCCTTTCCTGGCTTCTCTTACAAACAGGTGCCGGATATGTTGTTGTTGTTGTTGTGGAAGGGTGGTTCAGTTGGTCCCTGAGATTCCCCTGATTCTCGTGGCTCCGCGCTGGCCTATGGAAATCTGGCCTCCGAGCTTGCTGAGGATGCACCTCCACATGCGTCCGAATTCGTCGCTTGGCTGGTCTTCTAAAATGTACGGGCATCGGAGCCCGCGAAATTGGTGGTCGCCTTTTGGCTTTCCCAAGCAGAACCCGCTTGAAGGACCCTCAACACAAAGCAGAGCTGCAACTCCGAAACTGGCGGCCAAAGGGCCATTTGTGGGTTGTTTGTTGTCGGTTGGCCTCCTTTTACACATCTCTATTCTTGGTATGGTAGCAAGAAACTTTGTTTTTTGCAGACCCCCAGTAAAAATGAACAGAACCAAAAAAACAAAAAATCAAAAAACATGCCAAGAACAGTGAAGTACACATCCCCTTGGCTTGCCAACCCCGCTGAAAGGCTACCGAAGAACCGCAGGCTCGCCCCTGGAGTGTGGCTCAACAAAACTCAAATTGTTCTGGATGGGAACCAAGCCCAGAGGGGCTCCCTTTTTGTTCAGCTCTAATCGTCCGGGATGAAACCCACAGGATGGGCAACCAAAAGGTGATGTTTAAACCACCCGAAATAAGAAATACAGCTGGGACGACCGATTCAACAAGCAAGTCCAGAAACTGGGGAAAAAACGAGCCCCCAAATGCCCCGAATGCCCCGAATATCCTAGGTCAGCCGGAAAAGCGATGCCGTTTTGGAGAATGGAGCGAAACCGTGCGAGTGGTTGAGCAGCGGGCCGTTGAAATGGCCGTGGTGGTCAAAACCAATCGGATCCCATTTTGGGGTTAGGTGAATTCACCACCCATTTAGTCGATTTGGTTGGATTGGGATGTTCACTGGGGGGTACGATTTGGATTTTGACCCATTGGCAAATGAACATGCGAGTGGTGCACCGCATCATCTCCGAGTGTGACGAAGCCAAGTGCGACTGGGGCATCAAGATCAGCATGTGCTGCTTGAGAGCTCCTGGCTCCATTTGCTCGAGTCCCCTGGATACAAATATCACTATTCCATTCCAGTAATGGATTTCCGCGAAAATAAACCATCTTCTGAAACACAAATGGAAGCAGACTGAGCTATACTGAGTGTCCTCGGCCCTGCCGTGAAACCGCTGGTTTGCGCGGGTGGCCTTTGGGGGGTGCAAGGGGTCGTTTTGATTCCTCAGACCCTCGATTTCCGCTTTTGGACATCCAACAAGTTGCAACAAAATTTGGACGCCGCCTGCCGAAAGCACAAGATTGGAACTTCTGCGTCTCTCTCAAACTAGAGGGTTTTTGGCGGGTGTGGCAAACTTGTCCACCTTTCACTTGCCCAAAGCACCTTGAAATGAAAGGCGATCACCTTTTGGAACCTTGACTATGGCAATCAGCAAACCATTTCAGGTCATTTCAGGTTGATTCGCTTGGGTTGCAAGGACCGTTTTTTCGGAAATCCATACGACCAGTTGCCAGAGAATAGCCCAAGGGTTGGTTTCCTGTGGTCGATTGGACGGAAACGTTTAAATGTAGTCCAACATCGGCCCAAGTGCTCTTTGCAGAAAAGACTTTTGTTTTGAAGTTTTGAACCGCCCTTCGGCAGCCAAAACAAACGCGCGTCCAAACCTTCCACACGGTTGTATAGGCGGGAAGTCTCAAATGGGTATGGGTCAAAATTAAACCACCAGGAATTGGACCGCAGGTTTTGGTCCATGTTTCCACTTCCCAGGGCAAGCCATTTGGGGGGATACCCGATTCTTGCCCCACAGCAACTCTGGAACTGGCCTCATTATCTTTTTTATCATGGTCCAAGTCACCCCGTAAGTGGTGGGTCTTATAGGGAAAGCACCCCCCCATTTTGTGACTTTGATAACCAGGAAGCATCAAAATAATGACCCCAGTGGAAGGCGCGAACTGAAACGTTCGCTCCTCGGAGCTGCCACCCATCGCGGCGGTCGCCCGCAAGGGATCTGGTGGAGGTATCCTCATAGCGGTGAGGATACGACTGCATAGGGCGGGAAGCCAAAAGGGAAGCCAAAACGGGTGACCCCTTTTTTTTGGCTGGAATTTCAAATACATCTTGGGAAGCTCTCAAAATTATATATTCGGGCGGTGTTCCTTTCGAGCACCATTTGCAAAGGAAAATCGAGGATGTCACTTGAATGGATCCTTAGAAGAGGTCGCCAGACTTCTGTGTCAACGTGCATTCACACTGCCAAGACCGCTTCTATAACGATTAAGTTCTTCCATTTGGCCTTAACCCTGAAACTGTTTGGGGGGTCTTGTTTCGGCCAATGCTGGGCTCATCAGAAACCTGGATCCCCATGTTGACCCTCATGAAAAGGTCCGAAGATCGCACGTGACTGTAAGTTATTTTAGCGTGAAACTGCACCGAAAGTCTGAGCTGGCAAAACTGTCTGCAAATTAGCGGTCGAGCCAAATTTTGAGGCCCCCTCCACAAGAAAAGCAAAAGGCAACAACCCGAAATTGGTTGATTTCCTTTTGGGCTCCCTCCACAAAAAAAAAAAAAAACAGCTCAGGGCTGTGGGAAATGGAATCCACTTCTTTACAACAAAAACGGCCGAACCCCAAAGACCAACCCCCTTTTTTAGAGAGGGGATTCCCAAAAGTAGCACAGAAGTGGTTGGATCAACCCCGAGTGATCAACCACAACCCTGATATCAAAGGTCAGCTTCTACCTTGCGCTACGTCTTGGGGGTGGTGCGGCATTTACTATCTACAAGAACCAGGGCTTCACAGTCCCAAACCCAACCCGAACCACCTACTAAGGGTTCCCTGAGCAAAGGTTCAGTGTGCAACCCTGGAGTGAACCCCTGGGCTTTGTGTTCACCATCAGAGCCCAACCCAGCCCAGGTTCCCTTCCCCAAACCACCAGAGCTGAAGCAAAAACCTCGGGCGGTCTTCGCCCAAACTTTGCATCGCAATCTCGGCCTTTCGTTCCGAGGCGCACGGCGGGGCAGGCGCTCTTCGTTCAGCTGGGCTCTGTCCACTGGGTAGGGCAAGGCCGGGGGGATGTCATAGACTCCTGGGCCAAGTTGCCCAGAACACGCGGTTTCCCTTTGGTTAACCCCTTTCAAAGCAGAACCAAAGATGGCAAGGATTGGACGGGCCCCTGATTTTGAGAACTAAGAGCTAATTTGCCCAGAACTTGGAAATTCATGCCAGTAACTTATGTATGGATTGATGGATTCATTCACCTTCAGAAAAACTGTGGGTGCTGCCGCCTGCTTGCCTTCCGTCTCTCCTTGCTCCGTCCTTCTATCCATGACGTGTGGCTCGGTTGCAACAGTTGAAGTTTGCCTCGACATGGTAGCTTGCGTTGTTAGGTGGTCAGCTTCATGATGCAAGTGGTGGGCACCAGAAGTGTATAAAGGGAGCCACCTGCAGGCATATGGCCGATGGCTGCTCAAGAGGGACCAAGCCTCAAGTTGTAGAGGCGCAAGGCATGCCGTGGTGCATCTCAGAATGAAAGTGGCTTCCATGCCTGCAGGATGTTGTCCATTTCCCAGCAAAAGGCTTTGCAGATTGGACATGGAACATGCGCGCCGGAAAAATGGCTAATCACGGGACTGCCCCCATAGCCCTTCGCATGTCGTCAATCGTCGTTACTGTTTGGGTCCGTGTAGGCAACAGGAAAACCGCGTTTATGATCTTTATCCTTTTTTTTGGGGGTCACCAATTTTACACATGCCCAGTTCTCATGCTTCGGTGCTTCCTCTTTAAAAGGCAGTAGGACACTTTGAGTGGTGAAAGGTCGTCTATCTTTCTTTGGTTAAGGTCGTCTATCTTTCTTTGGTTCCCTATTGGTCACCCCATGGTGCACGGAGCTTTGGATCAACGGCATGTCCTGCCAGGACGTGGTCCAGGAAGTTCCAGTCGAGGCGCTCTTGCATATGGAATACCTCAGGCTGCAACATGCAAGACTAAGGGAGCCAGCCCAGGAGGCGAAACCAGGGGAAAGGGGGAAACCAGAAGGAAACCAGAGACTAGGGCGAACCAGCGGCCGAGTGAGAAAATGTGCTTGTGGAAAATGCCTACCCAGGTTGGTTGCACAAGTTGTGGAAATACCAAACAATTACACACAAGGCAACAAAAAGGTTGGCTACCCCACTTATAACAATGATTGTGACCTACCAAGCAATTTTTGCCCGAGTGAGATACTCCCCCAGGGCGGGTGGTCACCGCACTTACAACAATGGTCCTAACCTACTAAAAGGCAACGTTGAATGGTTTTAACATGGCGCTGCTCATGCTTAAGCCAGTGCTTTAACTACGTGAACAAACTTTGCTACGTAGTAGGTTAGAACCATTGGTATAAGTGGGGCGACCCACTTTGGTTGCCTTATGTGTCCATGCGTCACCCGACCTAGGGAGGTATTCCATATCGTATTTTGCCACATACAGTAGGGGTAAGTTGTTTTGATACTTCTCCGCCCATGTTCCACCCAACCCGGAGGTATTCCATAAACATATGTTGCCACCTCAAGTTTAGTTGCCTTATTGGTGATTCTCCTTAGGATTCTCCTCAGGGCTTGGTGCACCTGTTGCACCCGAACTAGGCAGGTATTCCACAATAAACCAGCGTTGATTCCACCAACATGTTAAGGGTTCTGGCTATACATTTAATGGGAAACCATCCCCAAAACTGGGTGGTAGACATGAATCCTAACCTAAAAGAGCTGCACCAAGGGTTCCCTAATTAAACCTCCATGCGGTCCCCCTTCTTGGCAGCAAATGCTTTCCACCTCTCTTCCCAACTCCCGAGAATGGCAACCCACACTTCCTGAGGGGCCAAGCAGTCCCATTACTGCCTTCAACATGACCTCAAAAATGGTGTCCCATATTTAACCGGCCTTCCCAAACCCAAAAAGCAGAACACCCAGCAACCCGACGCCTCGCAGTCCGAAAGCCCGTCAGGGGGCGCTGCGAGACTCGATCCAGTGAGGCCCGTTCCAGGAAGACAGGTGCACAAAGTACTGCTCATAAAGGAAGCTGGTCGCCTCTGCCACATGGAAGGGGTGCAAATTGCCCATTGGTGCCGGACAGGAAAAAACAACAATCTACACATCTTCTCTTGGCTTCGTTGTGGATATGTTGTTTCTGCCGCACCGAGAATTCCATGTGACGTGCTTGAGCTGTGTTTGTTTTCAAAGGAGCCCCATGGCTGTCTCAAATCCCTGGACCATTGACCCTTAGCCGAGAGGCCTTTTTGGCAACACATATGCTGACTTGCCCAGTTTGGACCTTAGATAAAAGTGATCACATTCCTCCATTTGCTTAAGTTGATAGGAGAAAACACACATGTTTCCAGTAGTGCAGTGATATCGATTCCCTTCAAAACCAACAGGAGAAAATACAAAAAAAAACCTTTCAGCAAATGGAAGCCATGTGGTTGCCCAAAACCGATGGAAAGCCAACAGGCGACGTCAGGGGACCGCGACATCTGCGGTAACCTTTGGCCAACCGCCAGGCGCCTTGTCCCGGAACTTGTCCCGGTCGAAGCGCTCGTGCCGCGCGACCTTGATGCCAGAGCTCGTGGGCTCGAACCTGCACCACGGGCTTTTGGTGCATCACAAGCTCCAAGCTGGGTTGAAGTTGGCATGATGTTGGGCCCCCCTGCAAAAAAGTAAAACACTTTTTGGGGGTTGAGTGGAAAACCCAACTTGATTTCAACCAAAAAGTTAAAAGGTCTAAAGATCCAACCCAATAGCAGTCAAGCAAGCAACTACCTGTCCTCAGATCCCCTGCCGGAAGTCCCGAACTTTTAACATGGGGCAGAGGCAAACCGAACCCCCTGGCTGGCATCTATCCATGTTCCAACCAAAATGTTGACACCTTTGAACCTACCAACTCCAAGAGAAACACTCAAGTCTTGGAAGATTGGAGTGATGGCCAGGCCTCCACACTTGGTTGACGTTGGAAGGGGAGAAAAATCAAGCATGTTAGCACTTGAGTGGACTTGGATTTCAGCCACTCAACCACAATAAGCAAAAGATGTAATTAAACTGCTTCCCAACAACAACCATGCTGTTCAGGGCCCCTTTGGATGACACCGGGGTCTTTGCCAGGTGCCTCCTGCCTCCTACTCTCCGCGCCTCCACTGCGAGCCACAGGCGGCCGAAACCGTCAAGTTGCGCAGCGACTTGGGCAGCCGGCTGCCGTGCGCCTGGCGGCGGCGGCGGCGGCGCGGGGGCAAAGAACCGGACGGCCCCTTCGGGCGCGCGTTCGGAGTCGGACGGGCAGCTGCGAAATGTGCGCCCCATGAATATCCCCCTTGAATTTTTTTGGGGGGGTGGGGGTGGGGTTGAAACGCAAACATTCTATGGGATAAAATCGGAGTTTGAGCAGCAGAGCCCCGCAAATCCTTCAGTTGACCGGATGGATGTGTTGACACCTATTCCGTGGCCTAGCAGAAACAACTTGAAGCAATAGAGAGGGCAATGGCAACGCACGCCCCGGATTCAACCCATCCTACACATAGGTATGTCTTGTTTTGAGGGTACCCTTTTTGCTTGGTAGGCAGGGGAGGCCAACAGGACACCGCCCATTTTTTTTGGTTGGGGTGGGGTCCAACCTGAAACAAACCAACCAGCCAGCGGGCACATCTTTTTTTGCCACCCCCACCTGCCAGGGCTCTTTGACTTGATTCTTCTCGTCCACGTTGACCTGAAGTCGCCCCAAGGTGCGTGCCAAAAATAATAATTCCACCGTGACTTTTATACACATATATAAATATAATATAATTACGAGGTAGGCTCCAAATACCCGAAACGCAGGTCTCCAAATATGCCCCAAACAAGTTGGAGCAGGGGTAGTCCTTGTAAACAGAATACGGTCCCGAGTTTTCGGAGGATATCTGGGGGACTTACCATGGTCTCGCTGCATTATGCATCCAGCCCACCCCGGTCGACCTGGAAGCCATACATATGTGTTTTGGCGTCTCCTTCAAGGATCTACTTGCCGAACTGCCCGCAGCCGGATGCGACGAGATGGGAACAACCCCCCCCCGAGTTGCTTCTGCAGGGCCCCTTTGCCCAAAGCCCTTTGAAACGGCGGGCAGGAACACCACAGGCCGCCACAGGCCCACCAAGGGCCGCCATAGGCCCCCAACTGCTTTTGTTGCCATGTATCACAGTCCAAAAAGGCCAACCTTGGATTTTTTACAGTCCAAACTGGTTGCAGGTGAGGGGTGCAACACGAGAGGGCCACATAATGGTACAACCTTAGACTCAACGCAGAATGAGCTTCATGGTCCAGCTCTGGGGTACACTGGACATTATCTTCAGATCCCTTTCCGCAATCAGCCAACCCGGAATTTCTAAAATGCACTCCTACAAATGAAGACGAAACCCGAAAACCCACGAGATTTAGAGTCCTCCCTTTTGGGTAACGGGGCTGTTCAATATAGGAGGTTGGCCAATCCCAATCCTTCTTCCCAGGGAAAGCGCTACAATGGGCACCTATTGCGTAACTCAAGGTAAGGATCTTGCGGATGTTCAGAAGCAGCCCAGTTAAATGCACTTGTTTTTGTTGGTTGTGTTGTTGCTTTAAACCTTGGGCCCGGGTTTTGAATGAAAACCAAATGCGTTATACATAAACACATGTATGGCTATGATTTTTTTAGGGGTCTGTAACGCGCGACACGCCACGAATCCTGTAACGGAGGTCCTTGTTACGCAGGTCTGTAACGGCACAAACATTTCCTGACAAGCAGTATCAGCAGCACAATGTAGCGCAGCAGAACGAGGTATGTAATGGCTATGTAACGAGGTCTGTAACGAGGCAAAGAAAGGCGCAGGACGCAAAAGCGCGCCTCCGCAGCTCCAGCTTGATTGCAGCTACTCAACGCAAGCCATTCTGCGGCCAAAAGCAGGGTCGCTGGCCCGGGCTGGGGGTTGGGTCTGTAACGAGGTATGTAACGGCTATGTAACAAAATCTGCAACGAGGCAAAGCGAAGCGCAGTACGCAAAGCGCGCCTCCGCAGCACCAGCTTGCTTGCAGCTACTCAACGCAAGCCAAGCTGCGGCAAAAAGGGGGGTCGCTGGCCCGGGCCGGGGTTGGGACTGTAACGAGGTATGTAGCGGCTATGTAACGAGGTCTGTAACGAGGCAAGGCAAGGCGCAGCACGCAAAGCACGCCTCCGCAGCTGTCTTCAACGCAAGCCAAGCGGCGGCAAAAAGCGGGGTCGCTGGCCCGGGCTGGGGTTGGGTCTGTAACGAGGTATGTAACTGCTATGTAACGGGGTCTGTAACGAGGCAAAGCAAAGCACGGTACGCAAAGCGCCTCCGCAGCTCCAGCTTGATTGCAGTTATTCAGCGCAAGCCAAGCTGCGGCAAAAAGAGGGCAGTCACGTCACTGGCCCGGTTTGTTCATCTAAGGTGTGTAACGAGGGCGTGTAACGAGGGTGTGTAACGAGGGTGTGTAACGAGGGGTGTGTAACGAGCCAGCTGGTTTTGTTACAGGGGGTCTGTAACGAGGTCTGTAACGAATGTCCGCCGCGGCTCTGTTACAGACCCCTCAAAAAATCACTGCCATATATATATATATTAATATCAACAAAACAAGGTTTTTAGCTTGAAAAAAAATAGGGGAGTAACTTTGGAGCTTTGCTTATTCGAGGCGCGAGCTCCTCACAGGAGCCCTCCCAGCGGTTGATGTGGGTCCCCCCCAGCGCTGCCAAACGCAGGCCGACGAAGTCGTACATCAAGTCCAGCTTGGCGCCTGAGCTCGGCCACTGAAGTGGGTGGGGGTGGGTGGGTTGGGTTGGGTTGGGTTGGGTTGGGTTGGGTTGGGTTGGGTTGGGTTGGGTTGGGTTGGGTTGGGTTGGGTTGGGTTGGGTTGGGTTGGGTTGGGTTGGGTTGGGTTGGGTTGGGTTGGGTTGGGTTGGGTTTGGTTGGGTTGGGTTGGGGTGGGGTGGGGGTGTTTGGGTGGGTGTGGTGGGTGTGCTTACTTTTGTAACTTGTCACTGGTTTGAAGGGATATGAAGGAGAACTAAAAGGGCAAAAAGTTGAAAAGGTATTCTAAGTTTGGCAGTCTAGGGGAAAAACAGAGTAAACTCCCAACCAACCCAAGACGTGTTCCTGGAACCTTGTTAGAAAGGTTCTGACCGAAGGGGTCTGCGAACCGTAGGGGGCCCCCAATGCTTTGATGATTAGCTTCCAGCAGGACAATTCCACAGAATTTTAGCTAAACGCCCTTGATTCGGGCGCAAAGATCTTGAGCTAACTGCCTGTCCTCTAACATAAATAGCTCCTGTGTGCTTCTATGATACTTGGATCATCGGCCAAGGAAGTACTCCAAGCACCTACTACTTTTGAGGTACGATGCCAACCCCCGGCCAAACAAAGGAGGCATGTACTTTTTCAAACTATACAGGAAAGGCCTGTAATTGGGCTGTTGACCTAAGTTGCCAACAACTTGCTAGGTTGACGTCGCCGCCAACTAGGGGAATAACAACCAAAGGCCGCAAATTCCGAGGAAAGACTCCCAGGCGAACCTCTGTGGTGTCTCCTAAACGGGCTGCCACCAACAGGTCTTGCGATTCAAGACAAGCATGCAGTTTTGGCAGAATCGAATCGATATCAGCGACATCCAACTCCTCTCCTCAATCCCCCTTACCTTCCACAAGAGAAGCCCGGAGCCAAACGCATTCCAGTGCTCACTTTCTGGGTGGACTGGCGCAAAGAGTCATCAACTTGTTGCTTGCCAGTAAAATGGTCCCAAACCCCCAAAACAATTCTTTGTTACACAACATGGTCCAAGTGCATGTGACAAAAGGTCCGAGAACTCAGGGAGTTAGCCGGTGACCCAGTCACCCCACCCCACCCCACCCCACTCCCCTCCACCCTTCGGCCACAGGCACCCTCCTCCCCGAAGCGCGCGGGGTTCACAGAGTAGGCGCCCGGTGGAGGGTCCGGCCTTGAAGCCAAAGCCCACGCGCAAGGGGAACCAAGGAGGGTGATGTAACTCGGTTGCTTTCTGCTCCCCTGCTCAAAGCTGAACTTTGAGTGGTGAAAAACCCATATTAGTTGGCAAAACAAAAGTCCCAACATCTAAGTAAAATGCAACGAAGGTAAGCTGATTAACCAGGAGTTTACACATCGTTGAACCAACAACGGCATAACACAAAACAAACCAAGCAAGCGGGCGATGCAAGCTGAACAAAAACCGAGTTTACACATGATTGAACAACAAGCAGCCACAAAAAAAAAGATGAAAAAAACACAAAACACAACAACACGGAGCGGAACACCTTTGGTTTGGCCACCAGCCCCTGCCTCGTGGTAATGGGCTCCCCGATGTGCGAACGTAACTGCGGTAGCCTGGAGCCCAGGTTTCGGATGCGGAGGACGCCAAGTGGCCAAAGGCCCCCCGGCGATTCCATGGAAGCTCCCGAACGGAGCTTCCTTCCGTTTGGCTTTAGCGCCCCGGGAAAAATATGTCCAGTGCAATCGAGTCGTTTTAAAACCAGGGGAAAATAAGAAAAAATAGTCTTGAACAAATGGAAGCTTCCGAAAATGGACTGGGGTCATTGTTTTGAAGGTTTCTGGGGGTTATCAGAGTCAGAAAATGGGTTGTTTCCCTTTAACCCACCACTTGCGGGGTGACTTTGATCATGGCTAATGTTGAATTTGCATTGATAAGCCTCGGCTTATTCATATATATGGAGGTGTTCCCCTCCAAAAGCGATAAATCCTCAAAACCGGGGACACCCCCCCATATGTATATACATATAGATGTACACTAATAAGCACACGGGGTTTATTCGGGGTCGACATTCAAATGGGTTGGAATTGTGCCATCTACTTTCACCCAACTCTAGAATCAATGTCCAGTAGTGATAGGTTCCTTTTGCAACCAGCAAGGGAACATTAAAGAAAGCATATTCTTATCTGGGTTGTCCTCAGATCCCCCGCGAAAAGCTTAACTTTTAGTGGGTTAAATGGACATCCCCACTAAACACTAAAAGGCTAAAAAGCTAAGGGGATGGCTGGGAACCACCAAGTTATATGCAAATGGAAGTAATGACATACGTACTTGCGAGGTGGGTTGAATGTAGTTGTCCGAATGCCCGCTTCGTACGTTGAACAAATGAGAAAATCCAGGTTTCCCACGGTAACTAGCTCCTTGTCAGGTCAGGGCTTAACATCACCCCGCCCCCCCCCAAAAAAAATAAATAAATAAAAATGAATAAATGCTGTAAACTTGGAGGGGGTGCACAAGTTTCAAGATGCGTTTTTTCACTACCCCACAACCACCGACCCCCCCCCCAAAAAAAAAAAAGGCCCCGAGAAAAAAGGATACAACTTCAAGCAGCCCCGAAATACCTTGTGGGTGCCTCCCCCATTCCTTCCAGGGATCCGGATCTTTCTAGAAATCCTCCAGAAACCCCTAGAGGAAAACGGTTCCGGCTTTCCCGAAAAAGAACGATGTTTGAAAAGAATGGACAAGGAAACAACCTTGAAGAGGTTTGACAAACATCCACTCTTCAATTGAATCATAATATTCAAGCCCGGTAAATGGTCTACCCACAACCGTGCCAGAGAAATACCGTGTGGGTGCCTGGACCCCCCAAAAAAATCAAACCCAAAGCCGAGGTTTTGGCCCCGAAGGAGGTTCCCATGTCTTGTAAGGTCAAGAGGGCTGTGGTTGACGCGGAATCCACCGTGATACAGAAAGGGCTTCCCAAAGACTAACCCCCGCCCATATTGTTGGGGGAGATTCCCAAAAGAATCACAGAAGTGGTTGGATCGATAAACTACTAACCCGATCTTCCTTTTTTTTCCGGAGAGATTCCCGAAGATATCACAAACGTGCTTCGATCAGCCCCTTGTGATTTCACACGCCTGGCGTGAAAAGTTTCGGCTTTTGATTCACCGGCGCCTGATCTCGTCCCAGGTCTTCTGGTTGGAGAAGACCCGGAAAGCGCGCAAGGAGTCGCTCTCTTGGAAGTGCGGCATCGAGGTCGGAGACACGTCCGGGATCTCCTGGCCCCAGGTTTCATATTTTGTCGGTAGACCTTGGCTTGCTAGTGCGACAGGCAGGGAATAAGAAACGGAATGAAACCAAAAAACCATCCAAGTAGTGGGTTCCTTTGAGGGAATCCCCAGGCTCATTCCCTCATTCCCTCATTCCCTGCCGAGCACCAGCTCGGTTGGGCCAAACTGGGGAGGGGGGGCAGGTAACTCCTTTATGTACAAAGTGCTTATCCTTGCCTTATCCTGGGCTTATCCAGGGATAGCTCCCCCCCCCTCCCTCCACATACCACCCCGCCCCTAGGGGTCCGTGAGTTCAGCCTCTCTCCAATTGGTGGTTTGAACTGGAGGGCTTCCCATCTACCATCTACAAGAACGAGGGGTTCAAATCCCCAAACCACCCCTCCAAACCACCAATTAAGGGTTGCCTGATTGGTTGCTGTAACGACCCCTCTGCAAAAAGTGTTTCACTTTGTGTGGGTCCACTTCGGAAAATATGTTTCCTGTTTCAATTCAAAAGTCAAAGGCCAAAGAGCCAACTAAATAGCCATAAAGACACCTCCGAATTGTGTGTTGACGAATGTGGTCTGAGGCAAATAGGTGGTTTCCAAACAAGGCCATTGCGGCAAGTCAGGATTGGAAGACTCCATATTCAGGCCCCCCTTCCCCGTCCAACGAACAATGGCTCCATTATTGCTAATAGTTTAGCCCTCTGATGGCTGATTGTGGTTTCAAAGTACTCCGATTCAAATTACACAAGGAACATTTCGCACTAAACAAAAATGGAACAGCCCCATGCGAATTCTTTCTGCCCCGCACATTCTTCTTCGGTGCCCGGAACATTGTCTTGTGCTCAGCAGGGAATCTGTTTCTTCGGTGTTCGGAAAACTTGCTGGTTCTCGGCCGGGAGTGAGAACTGGAATGACCCCTATGAATTCCAGGCCCGATATGGTTTCCTTTTTTTCGGTTCCTTCCCAACACCCGGACTTGTTGTCATTCCCTGTCGGGCAGCAAGAAAACCAAACAAACATGCGTGCGGCCAACCTGCAATTGCTTCGTCCGGAAGAAGCAACAACTTTCCAGTAGTGAAATCAATTCCCGTTTCAACCAGGGCGAAAGATATATATATATATGTGTTTGTTGCCCTAACCAAAAAAACAAAACCTATTCCTTGCTCATGGAAGCTAAGCCAAAGCCCGCGAGAAAAAAATAAATAACTCATCCCGTCCTGGCGCTCGGTGGGCTGGTTCTCCAAGCTGCAGAGCTGTGGGCCCCAGGCGGGCACTGGGGCCTTGGTGTCCGGCATGGAGCCGTCCAACCTGAGATCCGGCGACTTTGGTTTGCGCAACCTGGCCTCCATGACGTGTCCTTTCAGGGGAAGTAGATGGGCCAACCTGGTAGATTAAACCGCCAGGCAAACCGGGAATCGCCATCTATGTTTCTACCGGAACAACCAAGAAGGACACCTATGCAGGCCTCATGCTCTGGAAGTTTGTTTGTTTGTTGTTTTTGTTGCTTGTGTCTTACATATTCTTGCCATGATCAAAGTCCCCCCCGAAGTGATAGGCAGCCCCCCCCCATTTCCTGACTTTGATCACCCATATCACCCGCAATCAAAAAACCATTAAATAAATGACCCCAGGTAACTACCTTTTGGTTTCCCTACGCTGTATTTTTCCGGAGCCTCAATGACTCAAGGCAACGGAGGCGCATCCATGCCACTTGCACCCGGCACAGGGTAGGCCCACATGTGAGGGCCACAAAATACCTCCTGCATGGCTCACCCTCGCGCTCTCCACCCCAGGCCAACAGGTGCTCACCCGACGCGCTGTGCCACGGCACCTGTTGGGTGCAGCAGGGCTAGCTGGCTTGTTTGCGGCTTGCTGATTGGCTTACAGAGCCACAGCGAACCGCAACGGACGTGTCATGGGCATCCAAATCGCAAATAATCGCGTGAGTGCGAACCAAGCCGCCCATCCCCTTCCCTTGACAGTCAATGCCTTCAGCAACAACACGATAACCCCATCATCCGCTGAAGATGCTAGATGCTAGCCAGACCAACCGATTTCAGCGCCCAAGCATGCGCAAAAAGCATACACACGTAAGCTCCTGATTCAATGGAGATGTGTTTGGATGGCCTCCCCTGCCAGCAATGCAAGTCACAGCCAGTCGTAGCCTCCTCAAGGCAAGGGAACTGACTTGCGAGTGGGGGCCCAGTGAGCACGCTGGCGCATCCGTGCCACTGTCATCCACCCGGCACAGGGTGGGTTTAACCTCCCCACAGGCCCACGTGTGAGGGCCAAAACATCCATTTGTCCCTCCTCATGCATGGCTCACCCTGCGGTGTGCAGGATGCCGCACTCCAAATCCAGCTATGCCACGGCACCTGTTGGGTAGGGCTTGCTGACTTGCTTACAGCTTGCTGAGTTTCTTATTTCGCCAACGGCCCAAATAATGTGAAGTACTGCTTGCTGGCGCAAGCGCAGGCACCACCAAAGGATTGTCACACACAAGCACACTCTGCTGGCAGTGCGCCACCCGAGTGCGAACCAAGCCATGGGGTCAACACCCGTCCCGTCTCCTTGACACGCCAAGCAGACAATGCCTTCAGCAACAACACGACAACCCCATCATCAGCTAGCTAGACCAACCGATTTCAGCGCCCAAGCATGCGCAAGAAGTATACACACGTAAGCTCCTGATTCAATGGAGATGTGTTTGGATGGCCTCCCCTGCCAGCAATGCAAGTCACAGCCAGTCGTAGCCTCCTCAAGGCAAGGGAACTGACTTGCGAGTGGGGGCCCAGCAAGCACGCTGGCGCATCCGTGCCACTGTCATCCACCCGGCACAGGGTGGGTTGGCCTCAAACTCCCCACAAACCCACATGTGAGGGCCAAAACATCCATTTGTCCCTCCTCATGCATGGCTCACCCTCGCACTGTGCCCCACACCAGGCCAGCGGTGTGCAGGATGCCGCACTCCAAATCCAGCTGTGCCACGGCACCTGTTGGGTAGGGCTTGCTGACTTGCTTACAGCTTGCTGAGTTTCATATTTCGCCAACGGCCCAAACAATGTGAAGTACTGCTTGCTGGCGCAAGCGCAGGCACAAACAAAGGATTGCCACACACAAGCACGCTCTGCTGGCAGTGCGCCACCTGAGCGCGAACCAAGCCATGGGGCCAACACCCGTCCCCGTCCCCTTGACACGCCAAGCAGACAATGCCTTCAGCAACAACACGACAACCCCATCACCAGCTAGCTAGGCCAACCGATTTCAGCGCCCAAGCATGCGCAAGAGGCACACACACGTAAGCTCCTGATTCAATGGAGATGTGTTTGGATGGCCTCCCCTGCCAGCAATGCAAGTCACAGCCAGTCGTAGCCTCCTCAAGGCAAGGGAACTGACTTGCGAGTGGGGGCCCAGTAAGCACGCTGGCGCTTCCGTGCCACTGTCATCCACCCGGCACAGGGCAGGTTGGCCTCAAACTCCCCACAAACCCACATGTGAGGGCCAAAACATCCATTTGTCCCTCCTCATGCATGGCTCACCCTCGCACTGTGCCCCACACCAGGCCAGCGGTGTGCAGGATGCCGCACTCCAAATCCAGCTGTGCCACGGCACCTGTTGGGTAGGGCTTGCTAACTTCCTTACACCGCCAACGGGTCCACAAGGCGCTGACAGACATGAGATGGGCATGCTCGCGCGAAGTTCGTGGACACTGCCGGCAACGTGCCAGTGATTGCCAGCGCGCAAAGCACAAAACCAGTTATGGTTCAGGACAAAAGGGAACTTTGAGGAAATGACGGGTTGGCAGAGAACATGAAAGAAAGACGACTAAAAAACAATGCAGTAGCAAAGGGAACATGAAGCGGGCGTGAAGGCAAACTGCAAAACACAAAATGACAACCGTAACACATAAACAAAAACAAACAAAACAAAAAACAAAGCTCTGGCAAGGCAACAGCGGCAGGAAGACCGCCTTCAGCCAGTCCTTAGACCCAAAATCGGCCACCAGTTGGACCAGAGGCCCCAAACGAAGCCGTAGCTGAAAATCCAGGGCTGCTGAAAATATGGCTTGCACCGAAGGAAAAAGGGCGGGGTTTCAGCTTGCCATTGATATAACCAAAGCAAATGTGTAAAGGGACCCGAATGTGGGCTTCACACTGGCTTGTTCTTGTGGCGGGTCAAATTTGGATTCGGAATCGCTCTCATCTGTTCTCTGTTTTTTTCTTTTTCGTGGCACCTTCCTCACGCCATGTCCTTGGTTGACGTTGGAAGGGGAGCAACAATTTAAATTTTAGCAGTCAAGTGTGGATTTTGCACTAAACTGCAATAAGCAAAAATGTAAAATGTTTTCCAACAACAACCATGTTTCCAGGACATTGGGGAGGCGCTGCTTGCTTGTTTCCACGAGGCTCCGGGGTGGACCTGACGCTTCTGCTTTGAAACAATGCTACGCCGCCTGGGTCCTCCAGTAGAGAGGTTGGAATAAGGGTAATCAGGGCACCAACTTTTTTCTTCTTCGGTCTATTTTGGAATAAGTTGGTACCCCAGTTTTGTCGATTTTAGTAGGGAAAAACCCCTCCCAACCAGCAAAAAGGGGCGAGAAAGGCACTGGGGGACCTAGGCGCCCTAAGGGTGCAAAGCCATTCCCCGGCATAGGCGAACACCTGCCTCAGAAAGCCCAGCGCGATGAATCTTGCTTCCATTTGGTCAAGACCCCTGGAGAAAAAACACATCAGTAGTGACAAAGTCCTTTAAAACAAAAGGAAAATAAGACAGATTCTTGAGCAAACGGAAGGCCAAACGGGCCATCCTGCAGTCAGACGGAACAACATCCAAGTGAGAATAACGGCCCATAAGTGGAACATCTCCAACTCAGATGGATCATCTCCATTAAGACGCAACATCACGGATGAAACGTGTCATCGTGAGATGGATAATCTCCAAGTTGAGATGGAGAATCGCCAACTCTGACGGAGGCCTTCCAATTCAAATAGAGAACATCCAAGACCGGATTGATGTCTGTATGGAGGGTACAACTGGCAGACATTCTGATTTCAAGGTGCACATGATGCAAAGGTCAAGGAACAACTTTTAAGTTTACTTTTATTCAAGAAGTGATGTTGAAAGCCTGGGGTGATCAGTGATGTTTAACCTTCCATTTAGTGGGAAACAAGTTCTCTTCGGGGTGACCTTTACTCGAGATAAACAACTCTCAGAAAGCTCTTCCCTTTCAAACCTACAAACTGGAGATCTCGAAAAGGACCCCATGCTCCAGGGCTACAATTTACGGAACTGGCCCAGCACCAACCCCCGCAATGGCCATTGCCGAGACGCTCGGTTCTCAAGGCAAGGGCAGAAAACCGCTTCCTGGTATGAGATGTAGGAGAGCCAGGCTGGAAAGGGCGTCAGCCTGGTGTCCCCCTCCCATTCTGGGTCCGGCCTCGGAAAGCAGAGCCGACAGAGCCGACGGGAGGGAAAACAGGCCCTGTTGCGCTCCAAAAACCATTGCCCACTGGCCCAAGGACCGAAGAGGTTCTCCCTTCGGTGCCGGTTTCCAGTTCAATTGGGGCCAGAAGTGAAGGGACAAGGGCCAAAAGGGCTCCAGATTCATCAGGGAGGCCGCCAAAAACAACTCAGTCCACGGCGTGTCCCAACCTGGCCGACCTGGACCCTAAAGGGGGCGGCACTGCCAACCTTTCAGGACATTGACCGCAATAGAACTTCCAAACCAGTTGACCAGACCTTCAAAAACCGCAAGTATTCCATTCGGCACTTCAAAACCAGTCCAAAAGTAGTATCGCCCCATCCGTTTTGAACCTGACCGTGGAACGGCCCAACGCATCTTAAACTTCCTTCTTCTCTGGGCAAAAACGAAGTATAGTGGAGCAATCCTCCGTCCAAAGGCATAGGCCTTGAAAGACACACAAAGAGAATCAGCCCAGGTCATTCTGCGCTCCCAGACTCATATTTCTGCTTGTCCCTGTCCCTTGCAGTTCAACCCATTCCATTCCATAGCCTCCTGTTCTTATTCTTTGAGGCCCTTTTTGCCTGGCACACCGAAAGCACGGGTCACCACCCCTCCGCGGTTCTCCACCCAAAAAACAGCTTCCCCCCATTTGGTGGAGCCCGGTGGTTTGGTGGTTGAGGGGCTTCCCATTTACCGTCTACAAACCTGGGTTGCTTTCTGCTCCCCTGCTAAAAGTTTAACCTGTAGTGGTTTAATCGAAAACCCATTTGTTGGCAACAAGTTAAAGTCCTAACATCCAAGCAAAATGCACCAAAGAAACAGCAAGGGTTCAAATCCAAACCACCCAACCGGGGTACCTGAATAAAACCAAAAAAACAAAACATGCATTTGGTTAAGACCCCTGGGAACAAAATATTTCCAGTAGTGATCGATTCCCTTTAAAACCAACAAGGGAAAACAACAAATATTCTTAAACAATCGAAAAAAGCAGAAGGCTCCGAAGCTCCGAGGCGCTGCCGCGTGGGGATCACCAGCTCCGAGATGGAGGGGCTCCCCGGCCACTGGATCCACGGCACCCGGTGCCACGGCGGGTCCCGGACCCCGATGATGCGGAAGGAGCTGTGCCCCGCCGAGATGCCTCGCTCGCTGCGCGCGAGGCCCGCGCTCCCAGCTGAGGGGCTTCTCACCGCCCCGAATGCGCATTTCGCATTCGCGCGCGCGGAACGCGCGCGGTGGAATGCGCGAGTCAGGAGCAAAAACCAAGGGTCATGGCTCGAACTTCTCGAGTGGATGGGCAAAAAAAAGCCCCCAAACGGTGTATTTATTTGCCACTAGAGGTGGTCCAAGCCGAACTCAGGAAGTGAGCATGGCTTGGTTCCCGCACAAAAGCCTTCTTCAAGGATCTGCAAAATCAAAGGCGGTCACCTTTTGGAACCTTGACAAACTCTGGACATCGGGGAAACCGAAAGGTTGAAAGCTCGATTCGCTTTGGGCAACTGAGTTCCCTAATTAGCATTGCGCCTCGGCAGGGCTTGGTTACCGCCAGGTCGAACGTTAACGCATCGTCTTTTCACAAGGAAAGCCGCCACCTCCTCGGGAAAAAAAGCCACCACTGGCTACTTCTTGGGTTAAAGGTGCATGTTCCCTTAACCAAATGGCAACGCAAGAAGCATACCCAAACAGCCCTCAGCGGCTTGGAAATGAATCACTTGGAGACAAGACGAGTCCATCTCTGACTCTGTTCCGAACCGTTTGGATAAGTGTCTTTTTGTTTTTTACACACATCACCTCAACCACTTGCAGACATGCCTGAGTGATACCTCATACCCCACATGCATGGTTTGGTGCAAGCATGGCTTGGCACAGTCTCCTTACCTCGAGGAAATTTCGTCTTCGGTTCAGGGGGCAGGAGCAGGTGACAATTTCCATGGTTTCTGGGAGGGTGACAACTCAATCTCCAAAGTATGTGGTTTCCCATTGGCTTTCCCACCGGCCCCAAACGCCAGAAGGATGCTGCCTTAAAATACACGTGACACCCCCGTCCATCTCGATATCAAGCCGCAACGTCGGTTCGTCAGCAAGTACAGCTCTTTGCAGGGGGTGTTGATTAGGCCGCTGCCGGCCGTCATGATGACCACCACCTGGCAAATTCGAGTTGCGAGTTGATCAGCGCCTGTCGAAATGGGAACCTACAAGCCCCTGATTACCAAAGGGGGTATCTAGTGGCGATTCATCACAGGGAACACAACCCCCCCCCGGAAAAAAAAAAAGGCAGTCCTCAAACCGCTGCTAAAAGCCTAACTGTTCATGGTTGTGTGGAAACTACCACTATATAATCCCTACGAGCCTTAAACACCTCAGTGGCTGGGAACCACCAAGTCCTGAACCCGGGGCTTTTTCGCTCGCCTGACCGCTGACTTTCAGCAGCCGGTCCAGATGGTGGGCATCGAAATGGTCCAGCGCCAGATTCAGGCACTCCAAAATGCAGCCTGACCGAAGCGAGGCCCACAAGCCCCAAGGGAAATTGAGCAATCCCATACCGGAAGAAGGGGGGGGGTGGGATGCACCAAGGAAAAAGTGAAGCGGTGCCCAAGAACACGCAAAGTGGCCAGAGGTAGATATGTTTGGTCGGAAAAGTTCCGAAAACTCCAGGAAACCAAAGGGGATCTTCTACTCCTTGTGTCTTGGAAATTTGTTGCAGGTCCCAAGGCCCAGAATCATGGTTCCTAACCGCTTGCTAAGTTCCCTGCCCCCTCAAATACCCATTCCCACAAGGGCGCTGGCTCATGCACCAAACACCTCGATAAACAGCAAACGTGGAATAAGCACACGAAACAGTGCACTTGGTCCATATTCCAAGCTGGGGCCTGGCGACACAAAGGAATATTTACACTACTTCCCAAACCTTTTCTCGGACCTTTGCGTCACTGTCTCCTTGCTCGGCTTTGGAATAAATCTAGCTCGTGGGGGGAGCGAGCGCGATCCCGAAAAAAGAGCAGCATGGAAGGGACAGCCTCCGTGAAAAGACGCGTTCCGCCTGGCCAGGATGAAGGATACATGTAATACATGTGCACACCAAACAATCAAGGCATAGCTGAGTTACTCAATGACTGATGATGGATATACACATTCATGCTGGTATCATTGCCAATAACAGGTGTCCGCGTTCATTTTGTTGGAGGGTATACGTTTGGAGATTGGCTTGAAAAGCAAGGGACATTCTCCCAATTGGTGAGAGGATGCAGCCCAGCTTGAAGACACAAACACATTGAGAACCAGCAGCCAAGCCGCCTTTGGTTGGTGGATTGGCTTGGTGTGCCCTGCTTGAAAGCAAACAGGAAGCAACCCCCCAACCCTCCGAACCACCAAACCATTTCACCAATTGCTACCTCATCCCTCCTACGCCGGATTCTGGTCCATAGTGAACCTCAAGATATAAACATGTCAAAGGAATTGCCAAGAGTTGAGGGCAGGGTTGCCTCCCTCTACCATTCGTGGGTTGGGGCAGAGGGTTGGGCCAGCCACTTGTGCAAGCATGGTTGGGCACAAAAGCTATTGAAAGCATGGTTAGTCAAAAGGCCACCGTTGTTAACCAAACCTCCATGTGTCTTCCCATTACAAGGGGACCGTGGCGTCTTCTCACCCAGGCTGGGGATAGGCCAAAACTCCCAGTCTGTGGGCCGTGGTCGCTCGTTTGAGAATCCTCTAGCTTCCTCCATGATTTTCCCATCATTCTCAGGCAAACGGGTTGGACAAACGTGCAGCGCCAAAACCCTCTGCAAAAATATATTTTTGGTGGGTCCAATGGAAAGTCATCTGTTGCCAAAAAGTTAAGGTCAAAGATCCAACACATAGCCATAAAGAGGTTTAAACAGGTCTTCGATCACCCTCAACCTCAAAGGGGAGTTTGGGAATGAAAGGGACGGGCTTTCTCGGTCCTTCGTGCGACTCCGCCAGCTCACCAGCCCTCATGCTCTGCCAGGGGCTTGCCTGAAGTGTTTCTGAGATGGCGGCAAGTCATCCCTCTGCCCGTTTCAGATTCTTTGCCAAAAGCGTGAGGAACTCTTGGCCGGGTGACATACGGAAATCCAACCGCTAAACCAAAAAAGCTAACGGGCTACGGGAATGGCTTTGATGTTGGCCACAAACGACCCTGTGACCGCACCAAACTAACTTGAGATGACTTGCGTGTAGACCTCAGGCCACGCGCCGCAAACGACACTGGAAAGCCACCCCTGCGATACCAAGCTGGGGCCATTCGTCCCCACTGGTATCGCAGGTGGTGGGCTAGGCGTCGCACTATGCAAGAAAGTGCGCAATCTGCTAGCTTGCCCTCCGTGTCAAAAGCAAGCCCTTAGGGTCTTATTCTTGGGGGAAGGGGGGGGGGCTGCACCAAAATGAAGCAGAGCCCCCAGTTGACCATTTTTTGCACGGGATCCGGATCACGTTTGAGGAAACACACCCTGACAAGCCAGGGTTGATTTATCCGGCGTGGACATCAAAGGGGGGACAGGAAAGCGCTGCCTTCGTCCGGTCCCACAAAAATGGTTGGCAAGCCATGTTGGAAGCATAGTGACCCCTACTAGGTCTAAGACTGTTGCAGGAAGAACTTGGTGTACATGCATCCCTTCTCCATCTCCGTTCACGTTCAGGGAAAAACTGAAAACTAGGAATAGCCCCTGGTTTTGGGCTGCTTTGGGTGCCGCTCTCACCAAATTGGTGGAAAGCTCCGATGATCCGACGAAGCTCGGAATTCGGACAAGCCTGGCAATTGCAACTCACCCACCTTACCCCTAACTGGCGGTTTGGTTTGGTGGTTGGGGGCACCTTCCCCATTTGGTTTCCCAAAGGAACTGGGCTCAGAATTGTCCAAACCACCTAGCCATTCCACAAGCATCACAGTTCCACACTCCAACCGTGGCAAGCGCCGCAATCGCGTTGACTACATCTGTGAATGGACATCACGAACCGTGAGTCTACCTTAGTTTGGAAAATAACCGTGCATTTAGGTCTGTGAAGAAATCAAAATGGAAGCCCAACATAGCATCCCCTTGAGCGAGTCGAGATGCGGAATTTTGGCCATTCAGCCCCTGCAGGCCCTGCTCTGAGCGCTGCTTGACCCAGGACTCCGGATCCTTCTTGTACTTCTCCTCTTGCGTGTATCTTTTTTAGGGGACCCTCAAAATGGTGGGGTTCCCTTTAAAATCACAAATCAACACCCTCAAAACCCCTCAAAACAACACGAACACAGACACAGAGACACAGTGACGCAAAGACATACACACACACACACCCGCACAGACAGAGCAAACAGAGCAGATAGAGAGACAGAGAGACAGAAAGACGGAAAGACAGAGAGGCAGAGAGACAATGAGACAGACAGACAGACAGACAGACAGACAGACATACAGATAGACAACAGACAGAGAGACAGACAGAGAAACAGACAGAGAGACCGACATAGAGACAGACAGCGAGACAGACAGAGAGACAGACAGACAAACAGACAGACAGGCAGACAGACAGACGGATGGACGGATGGACGGACGGACGGACAGACAGACAATCAGACAGACGGACAGACAGACAGACAGAGAGCGACAGAACACACACACACAGACAGCAAACAGCCAGACAAACAGACAAACCAAACAAACAGCCAGCCAGCCAGCCAGCCAGGCAGGCAGGCAGGCACGCAGACGCAAGGTCACACAGGCACACAAACACACAGGCACACACGCACAAGCACTTTTTGCGGGTTGGCGGGAAATATGCATGTTCCCATCGTTCAAGTTTCAAAATCGAAAGAAAGAGTGGCAAAGTCCTCTTCCTCCAGCAGGGTGAGGAAAATGTTGGACACCTTGGCTGAAGAAATCGAAGAAGTGACCCAGCTGGATGGGTGGCAACCAACAGCCAGGAACTGCAAAACATAATAGCTGTGGGCAAAGCAAGAGGGGACCCTACGAAAAACCCCCTAGTTTAAACATGCTGAAGCCACTATTGTTTAAGCACTCTCCCTTTGGTGCCCCTCTAAGCGGACGGGCCATGGTTGTTGAAAAGCAAATCTTGCCCCAAGCGGGATCGAGTTCCGAGATCTGCCAACTGCCCGCAGGCCACCTCGCTCCCTCGCTCCGTGGAGCGAGGGCTCCCCTCTCATTGACATACCCAGTCACATTGGGCAAATCACGGTGCTGCTGCTTTTACCGTCCCCCTCCCCAACCTGCAAAACCAACAAGGGGAAACAAAACCAACCAAATGTCCATTTCAGCAAATGGAAGATGCACAAAAAAGGCCGGGCGAAAAAAAGGAAAAAACGACGGCCGTCCCCAAAGCCCCCTCTCCCCCCTCGTCTCCTCGTCTCCGAACGTCGGACGCTTTTCTGACGAGTGGCGCGGCTCCTTAGCTCCTGCTGCGAGGGCAGCGCCGAGGTGTAGCCCTCGAAGATCACGTCGTAGAAGTCCTCGCGGCGAGCGGAAGGCGCGCCCAAGCAGCGCGCCCTTTGTGGCTCGGTGGTCGTCTTTTTGTTTAGCTAGGTCCTCCAGTGGAGACGTTAGAAGTTGTTGGTACCCGATTTTTTTCTTTTTCGGGAGTCTATTTTAGTAGGGGAACCCTCCAAGCCAAAAAAGGGGAGAGAAGGGCACTACTGGGGGACCTTGTTAAGGGGGAGGGGGGGGGTTCCCACAATTCCATTTATTCACTCTTCCCCAGTAAAGGGAAAACGGAACCCGAAATGGAGATGTTTAGCGCGCCCTTTGTGGTTCGGTGGTCGTCTTTGTTTGGGGACTAAGAAATTGGCGCTGTCTCTTGAAGAAGCCAAAAGGGGACTCCAAATTGAAAAAGACGCAGCCGGTTTGTGGGGAGATACCTGGATTTCGTTTTGGAGGGACCCCGAAAGGCCTTGGATACCTTCCTACTACCAGCTCTCGATAACAAGAGCCTGTCTGTGATACCATGGGTCAATGACTGTCCCTCTCTGTTTCCCTCGGTGTCAGAAATTCAGATGCCAATGAGGGTCATTCCCATGACTTCACTTTGAAGAGAGGTCCCTGGGTATCACAGACTCCGTTTTCCCGCAGCCATGAGATTGGCGATTCAACCCCTGATGAGTTCCGAAAATTGCGTTCACTAGCCCCCAGAAATGTCCGTTTACCAGGGTGACTGGGCAGCAGCATGTCAAACTTGCTGGTTCTCAGCAGAAAATCAGAGATGGCATGGACCCCTCTTTCTGCACCATCCCCAAGGGTTTTCTTTAAGGGAATTCCCTGGAACGGCCATTCCCAACACCCGGAACGGCCATTCCCGACTACAGCACCAGCGAGGTGTGTCGCTTAGGCCAACTGGAACCCAGCGGTCCTGATTGACATGGGCTCAAGAAACCTTTGGTTTACTTACCCCTTAAAACTCCAAGCCCTGGGGAAGTTAATCTTTTACATACATATAGCCCATGTTGCCCAAAAAGTTGAAAAGTTGTGTTTTTAAGAGGTAAGTTTAGGAGCTGGCGCTCCTTTTGGAGGGAGCCCTCTTCTCTCACTTGCCCAAAGGACTTGAAAACATACAAGTTTCATTGCTTGCCGCCTTGGCTAAATATGGATCAACTCAGGAAAACCAACAGGTTGAAAGGTTGGCTTCTTTTCCTTCGCCCTCCTTTGGGCAACTGATTTCTTTTGCAAAGAGCCTCGTTTCGTTGGGTGGTCGGATCTTTGTGCCTGAAAAGAAGGATCCATGGAGAGAAAGAGAGGGGGGGTTACCCCGAGCTTTGTTGGATTTGAGCTTAACCATACCAATGCTGTTAACTAGGAATCGCACCGGGTTGGGGGGGGGGGGCGGGGCACGATGGAAAACCGACTTGTTGTGGTACTTCCCGCACGCTGCGAGGTCATTTGACTCCAATGCATGGCTACCGCCATCACCCCAGAAGGCAACCCTCCGCGCAGTGGCTCCTCCAAAAACTGAGGTAAAGCAGCCCTCGAAAGGAAAAGAAGGCACCCCCGGCCGGTCCAACTTCTTACTATGTCTCATCTTCACTGATTAAGCCAATGTCCAATTGCCCGGCAACCCTTGAAACACTGGCCTCATTATTCTGTCATGTTCAAAGTCACCCCCTCAATGGTAGGTTAAAGAAAAACAACCCCATGTTCTGACTTTGATAACGCCCAGAAACCGGCAAAATAGTGACCCCTGAAAAAGGCTTAGCAAAAGCTGCAAAAGCACCAAGAAACTTGGCTGGAATTAGGACCCCAGCAAAAAACCGCAAAGTTGCCTGGTTACTGGAAAAGAAAGGGAACCCCAAAAAAGCAAAAAAAATAATAATAATAAAAAAGAACTAATCCAGGGGAAGGAAAAAGCCCACCTTTTTTCCCCCGGCAGCCAGACTCGCAGCTTGCCGGACCCGGGTCCTGGTGATTCCCAGGCGGCCCGAAGGCTGTGAAATCCTTCCGGTTTGGCGGCCTGGGGCGGGTTCTGGGCTGTTTGATTGGCGCAAGGCCGGTGCAGGGGGAGTGTGGGGGGGTGTGTTGGGTGTGTGTGTGGGGGGGGTGTGGGGGGGTGTGGGGGGGGGTGTGGGGGGGTGTGGGGGGGGGACAATCACCCCTGAACTGGTACAGTAGGCGAAAGCGAAACAGCCGAAACAACCCCGGTAGGCAAAATATGAACCGCAGCACGGCCAGCCTGAAATTTGTGAGGCTACGGTGCATGCGCCAGAAAGGTCCTGGCTCTTTTCACAGGACTCCTTACCCACCGTCCAGAGGCTAGCCCTTGCAATGGTTGTGGGGCTCCTTCATGTCAGACCCCACTCTGTGGCAACCCTCCTGCCAGGTGAAACATCCAAGCTGGTGGTCCAACCGACTGCACGACTTTCAATCGGCCCAAATCTGGGGTACACCAAAAAGATATGCTGTTAAACCATGCATCTAACAAATCAGTCTGACTGGCAAGCAAGACTCGGAGGACACACCAGTTGAAGAGTAATTTCAAAAATGGAGACACCGGCCCTGTGGGTAGTGAATGAGAAATCCACACGCAAAAGGACAAAACACGTAGCACCAAGGCCAACATCCGACACCTGTTCACGCATGTGTGTTTCCAGACTAGGCAGTTGTATCTGCAAAGAACATCTAAAATATGTTTGCCGCCAGAAACTACAATTCACAACAGCTATGTTGATGCAGTATATCAATTACATTGTAGTTTGGCATTTGTTTATCCCAGCACTTTATGTGGCCGAAAATGGTTAATCTGTAATTTCATGTATCTCTGTATGCTGTTTACTCATGCCAAAGTATTCAGAACCCTTTTTAGTTGCGTATGTCCATGCTCAAAAGCTAGAAGTTTGGAACATGTGTCCATGTTTGGTCAAGGCTCCAGGTGATCACCTTTCATGGTCAGGTCCTTTCGGGCTTTCGTGAGTCTCAGCATGTCTGGCAGAAACATTCCCAAAGTACTTTTTGAGTTATCTTCCTATGCCAATCTCCATCTATTGTCTGCACCGGCGCCAAAAAACAACAAAAGGTTGTGCGGTCGATTTGCTTTGCTTCCCTTTGCGGTTTCGTCCCCTGGAAAAAGATATGTCCAGCAGTGACCAACAGGCGGAAACCAAACATATATTCATTTCAGCAAATGGACGTTTATGGGTCACAAAGAAGGCCGCCGTTGGAAGGCACCCAGCTCATTTCAGTCTGAACATTTGCTGGGCTCTGGATTGCTAACGCCGCCCCCCAAGCCGAAAACGGGAATCAAAGGCCTCCGCTCCGGCGTGGCGACGGTGGGCCGCCGCCGCGCAAAGAGCACGATCCGCAAGTAGTGGCCTCCGATCGCAAAATGCCCTACGCTCGGCCAGGGGGGGGGGTCTGAAAATAGGGGGGCCCGGTGGTCCTGAGTGGCTTAGCCATCAACAAAAAGTCCAAACTTTGTAGTTGACACTAACATGGCCTTCCCGAAAAGTTGAAAGTGCAGGAACTCTGGAAGTGAGAAATAGGGGGCCCCGGAATTGGGATGGGATTGAAAGGAAACCAAAAGGAAACCACTTACCTGGAGGGGTCCCGCGAATTGAGAAACATGCGCTTAAACCGACATTCTGCAAACCCGACTCCATTTCGTGCAACACTCAGTTCTTGAACGGATTGGCTCGGGCGGTTTTCCTTTGACGAGAGGGAACATGAAGAAACACAAAAGCCATGCTGAACAAAAGGAGAGCTAAGCCTACAAACCTCACTCACCAACCACCTTCCATCACATCCGCCGGGAAATGCGGCGATTCGCAATTATCCAAGTGGCTGATGCGCTTGCCCGAGACCGTGCACACGCGCTCGATGCACTGGCCTGGCCGAAAATGGGATGGCGTGAACAAAAAGGACATGGAGTACAGCCACTGGCATCCCTTTGAGATGGGGTCGTTAAATTCAATTGGGGACCCTCAGTTCTGGCTGGGGGAGTGAGCAAACAAATGCAGATGCTCTACATCATTTAGGGGGAATCGCATTTCACTTCTGGGTTTGGAGCGCGGTGGTTTGGAACTGTTCTTCTCATTTACCCTCGAGAACCAGGGCTCCAACAAAAAAAACAAGCCGATCCAACAGGCTACCTGAACTGGAGGCGTTGACCCGAGCGGGGAAAACATGCAATCGAAATCGCCTCGACCACCGGGATCCCGGAACCAGGTTTTCTCGGGCAACAGCGATGCCGGCGACCGTTCTTGGGGAAACCGACGCCTAGGCAGTCCAGCAGCATCTGCCAATATGGCAGGCCCATGAGGCCGTACCGAAACCTCGGCCCACTCTGTCAAAACATGTCAAACAAGGGATTCGAACACTTTTTTTACAAAGCCACCCCGAAGAAGAAGAACCAAACCAGAAACACAGAAAGAAAATGGCTTTCGGACACCTGTTGGGTGGTTTGAAAGGGAAACCAATCAGGAAAAAACAAATAAACGACTTTGAGGTTCCCAGAATTTTGCGCAACACCCCACGAAAGGAGCCAACACTTGCAAGAGGAGCCAACTCTCAAATCGGAACGGCCACCATGGCCCCCGGTCCTTCAGTCATAAGACAGGGCTCCCCGTATTCCCCAATTAGTTTAGAGGCTGATGCTTGAGCCACCACAAGGAAAAGACAAGGGAGACCTGCTCGCTGGCCCGTGAACCTCGTTCAACAGAACTGTACCAAGAAATCAGTTGAAGAACCTTTGCTTTGCAAACAGTATGGAATCTGGGTAAGTCGTCCTTCGCCTGGAACGGGCGACCCAAAACCACTGGATTTTGGCCCACAAAGGGTGCACATTCAATCGCGACACATGAGCGCTCACATGGATGTGGGTCCAAATAGGCACCCATGTTTTTTTGTTTTTTTTTTTAAATTGAACCCTGGTAAATGGAAACAAAGACTAAAGCTTGCGGTCCAATTCCTGGTGATTCAATTTTGACCCATACCTATGCATATGCATATCCATATAAACATCGTTTTGGGATCGGAATCCGACAGTTGCCCACTTTCCGAGGCGCAGCTCCGCGCTGACTTCGATCAGGAGGAACATGTGCGTGCTCGAGGACCTCGCAAAATGCATCCCGAAGCCCCGTGTTTCGTGGAATGTCCGCCTCTTCCTCTGGCTTCCCTTGAAGGCTTTCCGGCTTCTGGGCTTCCAAGCAAAGTAAAAGGGCCTCAAACAGCGCCTTGAAGGGCCAGGGCTGGGGAACTGGAGTTTTGCCTGGCTCTTCACATTTGGACCTGGGCCCCAACAAGAAGACCAAAACTCTCAGAATTGGGTTGTGAAGCAATTCTTCAGCCCTGCCATTCAGCTGTCAAAGGGCTGCCCCTTGATTCCCCTCCAAAGCAAAAAAACACACATCCCAACCAAGACGAAACTCCTGCAAGAAGCAATGCTCACCCAAACAGTGGAAAACTGTAGGCTTCCATCAGAAACAACACAAACACTTTGTTTTCCGGCGAGGCGGGGGGGGTTGGGAGGGGCTTCTGTCCAACCAAACTTTGGGGAAGACGTTGGGGGCACTTCCCGCGCCGTTCAACGCGGGCGGCGGCTCTCGAAGCGCGTCGCGCGAGCGGCTCTCGTCGCGCTCGCGGCTCTCGTCGCCTGAAGGTCACCGTGGTCTTCACCCCCACGGTGCCCGAGGAGACCGCCCGGCCGTCCGCGCCCACGAGCTGCTCCTCGGGGCACGGAGGAGGCGAGGCCCTGCGCCCAAGCGCCGCGCTTGAAAAAAAAAGAGAGGACGGCGTTGAAAGGTTGGGGAAAAAAGCGCGTCTGTCCTGAAGCACCACCCCCTCCAAAAAAAAGAGGGGACAAAGGCTGTTTAGAAGGTGCCAGGAAGAAAATCACAAGTGCAGCCGAAATCGTCCAAAGAGAATCCGTGTGTTCATGTGTAAGGTACTCAGCCGCTCCAGATCCCCTGGCCCCTAAGGACCCCGATCCCAAGAGGAGTTTTGGTTCTAACAAGACTTCCCTTCGTCAAGTGCCGCACCCGTTACTGCTTAAAAAACCTTCGGGATCCGGGCCTACATTACATTTGGGTGTCCTTTTTTAGGGTTGGACCCAAGCCCCAAGCTGGATTTCCCTTCAAGTTTCCCTTTGAAACCTTGAAACCACCAAACATTGAATACCATCCGTTTAAGCCACCAGTCTGAGAGAGTGGCTGCCTGATGCGAGGATCGTTCACATCGGCATTTCTTGCTTGCGAAACCTTAGGGCAATCTCCATCAATTGAATTTGGCCTATGCCCAAGCACTTGGTCCTTGGCATGTCCTTGGCTCGGAAAATGGCGGAGGGGGTTCCGCACTATCAACTACTGAAAGCCCAAAGAACTCTGATGGGTGAATGCCAAGCAGTACTCTGAATGAAGTGAAGGGAGTTGCGCATGCAAAGCATTTGCGAGAAGCCTGCCGCCCGCTCTCTGCTCAGACTTGCTGAAGGAATCACAGTCACACATGCCATGTGAACAATTGGGGTGCTTCAGTGCATCTCCCCCCCCCAAAAAGCGAAGTCTGCACTAAGAGGCACCTTTATTGATCAGCCGGATGTATCCATCAACCGGTTTCTCAATGGAGAGCTAGGAACAAAAATGCACCTCCTGATAAAGGTCAATCGCCCGTAAAGCATGAACCCTTGAGGGTGCCCTTTCTCACAGATCTTCCGAGCGTCAATGTTGCTGCTGGGCACATGCTCAGAGAAGTTGTTGTAGCCGCAATAAAGGACGCGGCCCCTGCACCACATGTGTCCCAAACGAAAAGGACTCTCTTTCTGACCCCTGACTCTTAACATCACGGCCCCTCCAACTTGCTGGTTTGATATGCAGGGAATAAGGGAATGAATGACAACGAGAAACACCAAGCCCCGATTTGGCTTCCTTTCGGGAATCCCCCAAGCACCAAGCGGAGGTTCTCCCTGAACTGGTCTTCCCAATGGCCCCCAGAAGTACATATGTGAGCAGAGCAGTGAGTCAAAGGGCTGCGCCCAAGCGAGTCTTCAGCCTGACGAAATCTGTCTGCCCAATTGATGGCTTGCTAGGGGGTACCTGCCATGGCAAATGTCTTGGTTACAAGCAACTGCCCGGAAAAAAAAAGGAGGCATGGTCTTATCAGTGTGCCCCGATTAGATAGGCGCTCGGCACTCTAACCATTGCAAACTACCCTCAACGTACCTGGTCAGGCAAAAGGAAGGACCTCCCGCGGGGAGAAAACACATTCTCAAAGTCTGGCCACGTTGTAAGTTGATCGAAGTTGTAAGTGTAGTTTGAGGGTCCCATCCCTCAAAGTTTCAAAAGCGAAAGACACCGGCACATTGTCCCCTGCAGCTGAGTTAGGACCTTTCTAGCCTTCAAGCACCGATCTTCAAATGGCCAACTCTGGGGCGTTTCAACGATCTGCAATTCGAATATGGGTTCAAGCAGCACGGTTTCAACCGCTCCAGTTTCAAATCCTGCCAACAACAATGGATCAAATGATAAAGCCTTCATCATAAGGTTTAAAACAAATTGCCTCATGCCCATTGGTTGACCACCCGTTTTTTCTTTCTGTTTTATATTCCTATTATTTTAGCATTATTAATATGTTTAGCATTATTATTTGTATGTTTTCATTTTTACTATGATTATTTAATTTGTATTTTATGTTTCTCGCTTCTTCTTTTCCGTGTGGCACCCGGCTCCATCCCATGGGAACCATTTCCCCGCTCGAAAAACCAGGCGAAGGTAAAGGCAGGCCAAAGGCCGCAGCCTCTGCTGCATCATGGCGAGGTGAAGGTGCCAAAGGTCGCCTCAAATTGGGCGGGGGCTGGGAACCGAGGTGTCGTGGTTTCCTCCATTTGCGTTTTCGTTCCCCGGAAAAAATAATAATAATTCCAGTAGTGACAGATTCCCTTTAAAACCAACAGGGGAAAATAAACAATAATCTTGACCAAATGGAAGTTTTGTGGTGTTGAACCGGTGGGCACGGTGCGGGGAGACGCCCGCCGTTTGTTGGTGTTGAACAGCTGGTCCTGTGAACAGTCGACAAAATTCCGATTCCCCTAGTTGTTTCTGGAAAAGTTTGAAAGTATGAATTCCCAGTTGGCCTCAATGATTCGAGGGGGAAGGCTAAAACATATTGGCTCTGCCCAAGAGCTAAGGCTGCCAAAGCACCTTCATTGGACACAGAGGGGGTCATGCTTTTGTCCACGTGCCCAACAAACAAGCGGCACGCAGGAAAGGCTGGGGCTTTGGACGCCAGGTCCGAAAAAGGCGCCAACAGCGCCCTGGAGTTAGTTGGATGCAACCCCTTGCTGGGAAGAAATATGCCAAATCCGGAGTAGTAAACTTGCAAACTGTTGCAAGCCGGCGGGCGCTTGGACATGTACACGTCGCTGATGACCATGACCACGTTCTGCAAATCTGCAGCCTTCGGCTGCAAACGCGCAACGGGCCAGCTTCAGACATCTGAGCGACACCATGGACACAAACTCAGAGCGAGCGACAGACAGACAGGCAGGCAGGCGAGGGGGGGGCAGGCAAAGACAAACAGAGACAGACAGCAAACAAAGACAGACAAACAGAGACAGAGACAGAGACAAACAGGGAGGGAAGAAGGGAGCGAGAGAGAGAGAGAGAGAGAGAAAGACAAAGAATAAAAAGCAAAAGCGGCTCGATGGACTTGCTTGGCATCCTTTTGCAGGGTCACCGGTTTTCGGACTTCCCCCCGTTCTATTTGACAGGCTCCATCTAATTCCCCTCAAAGCATCACACATAGGGAACTCACCTGAGCTGGGCCAAGAAGGTGTTGCTTCTTCAGCCACAAAAGAATCAACACTAACATGGTCTAAACCCCAAAAAGTGACTAAACACGGAACTCAGGGGTAGTGAGTGAAAAAAGTGGACCAAACCCCGGAAGCAGTCCAAAAACATGTCCAGCACATTGTCCAAACCCCAGAAAAGGGTACCCCTTCCTCCAACGTAGCACCTGTGGGAAGGTACCTGGAAGATCAGTTTCCTCTGAAAGGGACCTTCTGTGGGGTGCTGCGGTAGTGGAAGGGAAGGTTGTCACGCCCTTCTTGCTCCGAGCCGCGCTGTCTTTGGCCTTCTCCAGCTGCGCCTTCTTGTCCAGCAGCCCTCGCACCCCCGCCTGCGAGCGACCCAAGATCCCCCCTTCCCTTTCGGGGGAGGGTGGGGGGGTCCCCAATTCCAGTGATCTAGCCTTCTACAAAGAAAATGAAACCATAAATGGCATTCCAGGGGCCACCCCCCTCTCCCAATTCCATATTTTGACCCAAGCTGGGGATGCGCACCACCGATGGGAAACCCTGGCTTATGACCCCTGGTTTACTGGGCTGTCCTCAAATCCCCTGCTAAAAGTTAACTTTTAATGGGTTTAGCGGAAACCCTCACTAAACCCTCAAAATGCAAAAAGCTAAGGGGATGGCCGGGAACCACCAAGTTTATGATGGCGTAAAATGCCGACCAAAGGTATGGTTTCAACACAATTTGGCTGTGGGTCAAAAATAGGTACCCAAAATGGCTTGCCGACCCCTGGTGGTTTCATTTTGACTCATACCCATTTCTTAGGTGCGAAATGGAGTTCGTCCGTCATTAGCTCGGGGGTTGTTTTTGGTGCGTTGGGCAACAGACCCTGAGTCCGGCCCCTCAGTTCTCCACCGGGTTCCTGGACTCCATGCAACGCGCCTACAAGAAGGTGAGTTGCTTGGTTCTTTGAGCCTTGCAATGGGCCAACTGCCAGGTGTCCCTTGGAGTACGTGCCCAACGCAAACCTTCACCCCCCCCCCCAATACAGAGATTGGTCCGCAAACGCAGGGGGAATCGCCGGTTTGCGCTCCTAGCACAGTGCTTCTCAAAGCTTAGCGGCTTGCGCAGCGCTCGCTTGCCAAGGCACCGCAGTAAGGATCGACTTTTGGATGGAGATATTCCCGGATTTCGACTCCTGGTAGGATTCTGTGTGGGCTCGGATGTAGAACCTGCAAATCGCAAACATGCCGCGCCGAACTGGAAACAAAGAACCCTTGCAAAGACAGACCCTCCTTGGAAATGGAGGTGCATCAAAATCGCTGGGCGCCCACGACCATGGCTTCCTTGCAAAACCACCCTCGAAAAATGTCTCCGCCACAAACGCAAAGTCCCTTTCCGACAAGAAGCAACCCCAAGCATGGGATTCAATTCCCGTCAGGTTCCAAGAAAAATTGGAGGGAGGGTATCTATCCTAGGTCCTCCAATAGAGAGGTTCGAAGAAGGGCACCTTTTGTTCTGTAGTCTATTTTGGTACAGGAACACAAAAAAGAAACGGTAAGAGGGCACTAGTAGCCGAGTCCCTCGACACTTCAATGGCGCCAATTCAATGCCAGGCCGCGGCAGCTCGGGCTTCTCCGAGAACTTCACCCGGATCAGCGTGCCGTCGGGAAAGCGGTCTCTCAAGGAAGTGGGCAGCAAAACTGGTCGCCGATCTTCCTGGCGCGTCCATTCTGAGAGCATCACCCCTGTCACTCAAACATCTGAAAAAAAAACACCAAAATTAGCTCACTTGCCCCTTAGAGACCAAGAACTACAAGGTGATCACCTGTTGGGGCCATGACAAAAAATGGACCAAAAAGGGAACACACAAAAAAGGTCAAAAGGTTGGAATTGAACAACTGAGTTCTGAGAGCATCGCCCCGCTCACTCAAACATCCCCCTCCAAATTTCACCAAAGCATGTAAGCATAGAGGCGTCCAAGTGCAACTAGGGGTGTCCAGTCCAGTCCATTTAAAGTGGAATGGATAACCCACCAGCGGCAAAACCCTTGACGCCCTTCACATCATCACCCCGCTTGAAATGTGCCCGACGCCAATTTCCAAAGCACCAAAGCCCCTTCCTCCAGTGCCCCTGGCAGAAAACAAAGCTATTCCCGGTAGTGACCAGTCCCTTTAGAACCAACACAAAAAACAAAAACGCAAATCAAGCCCTTTTAGCCGCTGTTCCTCCCGTTTCCCTTCCATTTTCACTGCATCTGGCGACCAGGCGCGCCTCCTCATGCCAAGCCCAGCCCACCTCTGTGACCCCGGCTGGGGTGTCACCTGGGTTCTCCGACTCCTCCTTCTTTGCCTGGCGCGCAAACAGCACTTTGCGCCACAAACAACCCATGAACGAACGAACAAACTAATCCGGGTCTCTGAGCACTCAGTGCGCGACCTTAAACCACCCATGACTGAAATTGGGGAAACACATGAGACAGGCAGCCAGCCGCGTGAAGTTGGCATGCTGAGTGGCACTTTGCGCCCCAAACAACCCAGGCCCGAAAATGCAAAAGACATGAGCCGACGCCGCGTGAAGTTGGCATGAGTTTGGAGAGGTAGGAGATACCCATACAACTGGCATATGGCATATGTCATTGGAAATGCCAACTTGATCATGTCATGGCAAAGCTTCCAGAGTTCACCCAGAAATAAGGAGCCCCAAGTACGGGACCTTCACAGGGGTCCTGAATTGCTCGTGCGAGCAAACCTTTGCATGTGTCAAAATAGTTGACCCCCGGAATGGCTTCTGTTCCCCCTTTCCCCTGCAAGAAGCCCCAAATAGGGCCGTAAGGTCACAGTGACATCCCTTCAAAAAGTGTCTCTTCAGCAAAATCCCCCCCTAGAACAATGCAGATTTCATGCTGCCCCACTGTTCTCACACCAAAAAGCCAGCAACAACCAACCATAAAGAACGCAACAACCACCAATGTTTCTGGGGACCGGGAGCCTTCCCGCATTTCTCCCCGACATGCATTGTTTTTGTTTCTATCATAGCGTATCCTCTAGTGTCCTGAAAATCCCTACCCTGCATTGCTTCAGCCACCTGGAAAGAATCCATATTTCCGGTAGTCATAGATCTCCTTCAAAATAACCCCCCCACCCCCCCACCCCCCCCCCCCCACCCATCTCTAAACTGCTTTTTGGTCAGGGATTTCGGATATGGAAAAACGCAGTCGGGAGGTGCTTCCTCCCCAGAACGCTGGCCGGGGCGGCTTGAAACCTCGCCGCGATGGACAGGCGCCCTCCTGGCCGAGTGCTCATCGCTTCCCTCCAGCTGATGGCTTGGTGAGTTGGAGGTGTTCCGGGGGTGGTGTCCCAGTTACCCTCAGGCACCAGGGGTTCAACTCCCCAAACAAATGCAAACCAGGGGGGGTACCTGATTTCAAGCGCTGCGTTTGGGCCGCCCAAACAAAACGAACCAGACTGCAGAGTGTGGACCTGGACCAAAACAAAAACACCCACTACCTGTGGGCATGGCAAAAACTGGGTGATGTATTGGTTGATTGTCCAGGTCCAAAAACTCAAATCTGTTTGACGAAATCCAGGCACCAGTTGACATGCCTAAGGGCTCTTCACCCCAGTTTCCCATCGCTACACGCCAAAAGACGGGTCCCAGAAACAGCACAAAAGACCTCCATCTGCTTAAGCCCCCTGGAAAGAATCATGAATATTCATGAATACTTCCAGCGGTAAGAAACCCTGGCACAATGATTCCCCTGCTCCCAACAAACACTGGTTTCAACCATGGCTTCAAAGTGGTGCTTCAAAGAGCCTCAGAGTCTTGAGCAAATGAAAGTTCTCCCCGCCTCCGAGGCCCCTTGGCGGCATGCCTTGTGCGTGGAAGGGACGACCCTTGGCTTCCTTTGGGTTTCCCTTAGGCTGAAAAGGGCGCCTCGCAAACACAACCAAACAAACAAAGAAACAAACAAGCAAACAAAGAAACAAACAACCACACTAACAAACCAACAAACAACCACACTAACAAACGCACACACACACACAAACCATTTGTCTTGCCCCCCCCCATGATGTATTTTCTGATCCTGTGATTAACTTGAAATGCAACCTGATGGACAAAAGTCGCGACACGCACCAGTGGGTGGTTTATCAAGTACTCCAATCCGGCTTCATCCATCCGACCGGCGCGTGGATTTTGCAAGCATCAGTTTGGAGACGCAGCTTTGGCAATGTGAATCATCAAAGAGCTGCCTTCGAACCGCCGTATATATATATATATATATATATATACCCCCTTCTTGACATGTGACCCCACATCAGGTTGGTCAAAAGGGAAACCAAAAGAGCACCAATGAGGGGGTCCGAATCCGGATTTCGGCACATTTTCCTGAATAGCTTACAAAGCTTGGGTAAGCAGCGTCTTAACGGGCTCTTGGTCCCCTTCCTTCAAGGGGAAGGGCTGGGGTTTTTTGGTCCCCCTAATCAACGATTGTTTGAGTCTTCCAGCAAAAATGGGAGTAGACACAGAGACCTTCGGTCTGCCGTCCCCCCCGTCTTCCCAATCAACCAGTTGTGAGGAACACGGTGAGGATCGATCTCAGCTAGGTCAAGAAAGCAAAGAACTTGAGCCATGCCAAGCCACTGAACTGGACATAAGGATCGCGAGGCTCAAATGGCCATGGCACAATGCTCCAAATTCCAGTTGGTACTTCGGATTGACTGTGAAGGTTTGGGTGGAAAAAATCAAGGCCAGGCTGGGTCAGAACACATTGGCATCGCTGGAGGTGTGGGCCGAGTTGTTTTTTTCTGTGTGCCTGCTGCATTCAGCGATTCGGCTTTTCGCGCCGCAATCTTGTGGTCTGAGACGTGAAAGGCTGCCACGTGAATCATTTTGACCCCTGAAGACTGGGGCGTCTGCTGGAAGGACAATGGACCTAGCGCAGATTTCCCGGGGTCAACAAAAGTCCGCCACCCCAAATTCCATTTTTGAGGGTAGGGATTTGGCAATGCCGTGGCACAAAGCAGTGCCACTGAACGAACATGCGCGAGCTTCGTTCGGGATCCCCTTCTTCCGCTTCTTTGCTTCTCTGCGCCAACAGTCCCAACTTTTCGTTTGCCCAAATAATCTTCCGCCAATGTATCAAGCAACCAACTGGGGTTGCTTGACTCAAGCGTTGTTTTGGGATTGGCCAGTCCAATCGTCGGCTGCACGCTGCCCGCTCTCTTTTTCCCCAGGACCAAGCTAATGGTCTCGCCCTGCGGCTCCACGTTCCGACGCTTTTCCTTGAGCACTTCGAGCACGACGCTCCAGTGCGCCTGGAAGGCACGCAACCAAAAAGAAGAGGCAGCGCAACCAGAAAACGTATCTCCGTGGTGGGGAAGAACCCTCCCTGTGATACCAAGGTGGGCCATAGCTGTTATTTGTCTTGTTCAGGCCTTGGCGTCAAACACAAGGCCCCTAAAACTCATGTTCCTCTTGCCAACCATGCGAAACCATGAGTATACAAAAAGAGGGCCAGGCCGCACGCAAAATCCGCAGCTCATCGCAGCTCCCTTGCCCACGTCAACAGCTGCACTTCCCACACCCTGTCTGCGACACATTGGATTTCCATCACCACAAAGGGACCAACCCTCACCTCAGACACCCTCCTCCCTGGCACTCCAAGAGAATGCCCGCTGCCCTTCACACTCCCCCCACCCAAAAAACAACCACATGCTCGAAACCATGTATCAGCAGCTTGCGCTTGGGATTCTGTGCTACTATCAACACTTCTGTGTAGCATCTAGATCATCAAACTCATTTTCCTCCAGTTGGTCTTGGCGCACCTCCAACCTCCGCCACATCCGCGTCCCCGGTCTTTTCGCCGCTCGACGTCTCGACGTCTCTCGAACCCTCGGGGGCCTGCGCCAAGGGCCCCAGCTCCGCCGCGCGGAGGTCCGCCAAGGACTCGTCCAGCGTCTGCACCAGCGCCATGGCGTGGGACCTGACGAGTCGAGTCCGAGGCTCAGCTTCGAGAGGTGTGGGGTGTGGGGCCTCCTTTGGGTTCGGCTAGGGGGGTTCTAGGGTCCCGTTGGTGGTCCTATGGGTTGGGGGATTGAGGGGTTGGGGGGAGTCCATTCTGAGCTTCGAGAGGTGGGGGGGGGGGGTCTAGTTGGGGGGCTCCGCTGGTCGGGGGGTTGGGGAGTTGGGGAGTTGGGGGGTCGGGAGGTTGGGGGTTCCCATAGAGTTCCTTTAAGTTCCAAGGTCATATAGGGTTCCTATAGGGTTACTATAGGGTTTCTTCTGTAGGGTTCCCTAGCCTAGGTTCCAAGGGGTGGGGTGTTTGATATAGGGTTCCCATGCTCTTCTTTTGGGTTCAAGGCGGTTATGGGGTTTCCGTTGGTTAGGGAGGTCCTCAGTGTAGGGTTCCGCTGGGTTCCACGAGGTAGTAGAGTTCCCAAAAGGGGTTCCTAGGTTGTAAGGGGTGGGGTAGGGGTTTCCGCGTGAGACGGTCTCACCCCGTTTGCTTTCTGATCTTTGTGTCCGAAAGGTCTCCTTTCACTGGGACTTTGAAGGCTTCCTGGAGCCGACTCTGCCATTTCAACCTGGGGGTTTCATTCCGCGGTTCCTTCGGAGCTGGGACCGTTCCGGATTCAAAAGGAAATTCCAGGAACGCGAGTCGGGCTTCAGGGAAAAATCTGGAGGTCCAGACTCCAGACTCCAGACCAGAAACACCCGCATTTTTCAGGAGAACAGCCATCCTGGGACATAGTTTTGGATAGAAAATTGAATTGGAACTTTTGGGCCGTTTCCCCGAGGCCGGAAAATAAACCACCGGGTTCCTGGGGCACTGGAATCTTTGGGCTTCCGGCCGCGTCCGGATTCGGAACCAGCGCTTCTTCCAGAGGTCGCCCCCAAAACCCAAGGAAGTTCCTTGGCTGTTTCGCCCATTCCGACCGCTTTGAGCGGGAATTGGGCGGGAAACTCCAAGATCGGCTGCATCAAGACCTGCAGCCTCTGTAGTGGTTTCCCATCGTTCAGCCATCGTTCATGGTTGAGTGACATTAAACTGGGGCAAAGCTTCACATATGTGTATATATATATATTATATATATATATATTTATATATATATATATATGTGTGTTCATTTATTTATGGGTCTGTGCATTCAGCTTTTAACCCATCCCATGCTTGGGTGCTACATCTGCAAATGTGTACCTATCCAGTATCAATACATCTGTTTGTCTATCTGCCGGTCTGTCTATTTATCTAATGGTTTATTTTCGGGTCCCCGCCCCCCACGCCACCCTCCCCCGCCCAGTGTTGAGTACTTGCCCCGGGCTTGAAAGGTCCCGCTATGGCAAAATTGTTCGAAGATGTGACCAACCCCCAGTGGCCATGGAAAAAAGAGACAGCTATTTCTGGGCAGTCGAGTTTAAAGGGGTTGACCCCCCTCCAAAAGGAAAACGGGAAGCCAACCCGGGTGTCTGGGCCCAAACTGCGCCAGGACCTTCCCAGCGGAACACCACATGCCGCATTTGCGAACTCAAAGCTCTCAATGGGCGGGGCTTTTTTGCGACTTCCCCACTAAGCATCCGGGAAACCCCCCACCCACTCACCCGCCGAAGGACGATCCAACCCGCGGGCCTCACAAGCGCATGCACCCCGTCGTCACGGATGAGGTGATTCACCAAGCCGCAAAACTCCTTGGCGTGGGGAAGGTTGCGCGGAAGCTGGTCTACAGCTGCCTTCTGGCAATAAGGAAGGGTCAACTGGCCTAACTGAGCTGCAAACAACATATGCGGCAAACGTACGGAGCGTTGGGACAAGTCGTGTTCCGCTCCTGGCGCTTTGTGCCTGGAACTGAGAGTCAACAAAGCTCTTCGCCCCCGCACTTCTCGCCCCGCACTTCTTCTGACGCTTCGTGGCGCATCAGCTTCCCACGACCCCACGACCTGGTGGCTTGGATTGGTTTGGTCTTCCGGAGGGGTCTCCAAGAAACCCTACAAGAACCAGGGGGCTTAAAGCCAAATCCGAGCCACCGGGCTCCAAGCCACCAACCCGGGCTAACAGAGCGTAAGGTCTTGCCCGCAAAACTCCTCTCATGGAACAAAAGCATGGGAGAAGACATCCGAATGTCAAAAGACCCCAACTAGCCAAGCACTCCACCTCCCTTCAAGAAGACATGTATAGACATCAATGCAGTATAAACAACAAATGCATACATAAAACATACACGGTCTTTAGACAACTTCTCATTGGAACATCTCATTGCGCCAAAAAATACACGGTTCCAAAAGGTGAAAGTTTTGGAACCTTCACTGCCAATTGGGTCAGCACTGCGCGACCAAACAGCTCGAAAGGTCGGCTTTGAAGTGGGAAGACCGTGACCCGCGGATCCACCAAACTCCTGATGCAAATTCTCACTTCCTGAGTTGCTGCTTCTTTGCCGCTCACATGGTCTTTCCACAAAGGATTGAAGTGTCCAGGAACTCCGGAAGTGAGAGAACTGGCAACTTTGACCCGCCCCCGCATTTTTTGGCGGGATCCCATCCAGCCACCGAGCTCAGCCCCCCCACCTTCCCCCCCCAACCCCACCCCACCCCCCAGCCCCACCCCTACCTCCCAGGCCCCCCATTCCGAGGCGCCAAGCGCGCCTGGCAGGCCAAAGGGTCCTCCGCGGCCGCCGCCAGCTGCTGAAGCTGCCCGGCCTCTGCTTTCAGGCAACCGGCGGCGGGCAAAATGCGACTGGAGCCTTGCTGGGTGCTCCATGTTGTTCCTGTTTTGTGTTGTTGTTGTTTTTGGTGCGGGGGGAAGGGCAACAGGAAAACAACAGGAAACAACACCAGCACCCCCCAACTACGGCTTCTTGGACAGGACTTGGGATTTGGACACGGGACAAAGCAGTTGTTGTTTGGGATGTTTCATGGGAAGCCAAACTGGCTGCTCAAAATGGAGGCTTGGCCAATCCGATTCTCCATGTTCCTGGGAAGCCACCAGGAAAGGCTTTGGGCCGGTTCCTTGGGTATGTAAACAGCCCAGCCAACTGCGAAACAAAAGAAAATTCGTGATCTAACACAACTCGGTTGCTTTCTGCTCCCCTGCTAAAAGTTACTAACTTTTTAGTGGTTTAATTGGAAAACCCATTAGTTGGTAAAAAGTTAAAGTCCTAACATCCAAGCAACATGCGCCAAAGACAATAGGATTTGGATGGATTTGGTCCCCCTAAAATGGTTGATGTTCTTTCTGCTTTGAAAAAGCTCCATCTCGAGGATCCCGTTGGTTTTTTGCGGCATAACTTGGCCCAGCCCTGGGGCACACAAACCAAACTGAATGGATTTTTCTCTCTCTCCATCTCTCTCTCTCTCTCTCTCTCTCTCTCTCTCGCCGTTGCGTCCATTCGATTCCGCTTCATAAATATTAGCAAAGGAGCCCAAAGGCTGTGGATGTCATAACTCCCTGCTGTCGCCAGTTGCCCAGTGACCCAGCGGAAAATTATTTGGAACCCGCTCTGAGATTTAGTGATAAGCCCAACAAACAAACAAAAAAAGGCGAATACACAGAACTGGGATTCTGTTCACCCCAGCTTTTAAAAGCCAAGCCCGCTAGTTCTTGGGCATGGCTTTTGAATCCTTGAAAACCCACCTTTCCTGCAAGCTCTTCAGCTGCAACTTGGGCTGCAAAGGCATCAGCAAGCCATCCACCTGGTGTCAAAATCCCCAACATCGCCGCTGCCCTTTTGGCTCCCCAACCAACACCAACCCCAAAAAAACCGGGGATCCCAAACCTCCAAAAGGCACACACCCACAGATGCTTCGCCCTTCCGACATTGGCTGACTGCTGACCCCCACCTTAACACCTCTTGGGAGCGGGGGGCGGCTAAGGTATTGCAAGGGACGAAGGACCCAGACATGGACCTCCAGAGTCATCCCCTCTCCAAATTCCAATGGGGCTCGCATGGGTCTTAGAATTTGCGGCTCGGGGAGTATGCTCCATGCAAGTGCGGATGCACAAATAGTTGATCAAACTTTGTGTAGGTTCTTGGATTTGTTGACACTGTAATAAAAGAAGAAAAACCGGAGACTTCCAGATATCGGACGGCCACGGACCTTTTAACCACGTCTGAGTTCTGCACGAAGACACCTGCCTCCATCCCCTCGCTTTATGATATGTGCCCCTTCACGCATCCGAGGAATGCGGAAGGCGTAGTGTCTTCAGAGTCCCTGAAGGGCGCATGGCTTCCTGTTCCGATGGACGTGCCAAGTGTCACTCCGAACCAATGAACTGGCCACACAAAACTTGGTGCTAGCCACTAGGAGCGAGAAGTTGTAGTGGTTAGCCACATGGGTTGCAACTTAGGATGGCTATGAGCTATAACCCCTAAAAGCCCGAACGTGAGTGGGAACAGCTGCAGTTCAAAGTGCCTGCGCCTGCGAGAGAAGTTTGGCAAGTCGGAAACTCTCACTTTTCGGTGAGTCCCACATTGTCTTGAAGTGGGCAACCCTGTTTGCCCAGGCTTCAAATCGGCTTCCCCGACTAAACCGGAGAACCTGCTTGCGCAACGGAAAGGATTATAGCGGGTGGCCAAATTGTTGGAAACAAGGCGAAAAGGAGAGAGCAGAGATGAAAGAATCCGCTTGGTTGGCTGTGGCGTTGTCTCAAAAAATGGGGGACCCCAACAGAGGTCGCCAAGTCGCCATCCCTCAAAGCTGAGACCCAAAAAAAACATATCCTGCAGGTTTGCCCATGGCAACATAGTCGACCCAACTCAGGGGAGGGCTTCCCAAAGACTAACCCCAAAGGTCAGATTCTCCCTTGGATAAACCCCTTGTGCTCCCCCAATTCTATCTTAACCCCCAAAAATAAGTCGACCCACTCCCTCACCCCTCCACTTCCGGCCGCCCTTTTTTTTCGCCGCCCCACGGGCCGACCGACTCGGCGCCTTCAGGTCCGAGCCCTCGCCCGCGTCGCCGCCCGCGCCGCCGCCCGCGCCGCCGCCCGCGCCGGTCGCTGGGCCGAAAGCCAGCGCCGAGAGCAGCTCGAAGCTGGAGATCGCCTCCGAGGTGGACCTGGACGCCCCGAACGACCCGAGACCCCGCGCGCGCGCGGGGATTTTGGGAGTCCAGCGGGCTGGGGTTTGAACCCCAGGCGGATTTTTGGGTGGAAAGGGTCCTCCGAGTAGAGAGCTTGGGTCTATGTTTGTACAGGAAGCCTCCCCCAAAAAAGGGTTAAAGGGCACTGGGGGACCTGGTGGGTGTTTGCCAAGAAATGTTTTAGCAATATAAGTTTCGTCATATATGTGTGTCTCTTTTTTCCGAGAAAAGCCCTTTGCAGGCTGGGGTCAAGGGAGCTCAGGCTCATGTGTTCAGAGCGTCCAGCTCATAAAGGCTAGATACGCCTTTCTTGTTGCCCCTAAATTCCAGCCCGGCGGGTCGCCTAGGGTGAAAAGGTGATGGTTTGAATGCAAAAGGACACATTGCGCCCTGAATCATTTCCGCGAAAGGCAACCTTGCACTGAGTCAACTGGAACAAAAATCTCAACTTTGGGGGGGGGGTTTGGTTCTCAGACCAATTGATCTCCCGCAACACTTGGCTCAAGGCCCCTTTTGTATATCATTGCATCATTCATGATCGCGTGAAGCAAAAGAACCTTAGCAGGCCGCTTACAGGATTATCCACAAGACAATCCACCAGGGACAATCCATCCTCCAATCATCCACAGTGGCATATTGGATTCTCTCCGGAATAGATCCAGGGACCAACACAACGACCTCTACTACCACAGGGTACCAGTTCCCTTCGGGGATAGGCACCTGGGGCAGTGGGCCTCAATTTGTGGTAGCGGAGCGGGTTTTCCGCAGAGATCCAAGGGAAGATGTCATCCGATGGAGAAGGCTTCATGGAAGCCTATTCAAGTATGGCCAAAAATCCAGGCTATACGGAGGAAACACTAAATTTATCGATGACCGCCAAGCAGCCGCCATCGTACGACGGAAAAGTCAGCTGGTTCAGGTATGAAGAACTCGTGGACGACTGGGTGACCATCACAACGGTGGAAGCACCCAAGAGAGGACCTCTGCTCAAAAGCAGATTGACCGGAGATGCATATATGTACAAGGCGGTCCTCCAAAACGACCTTTTGCAAGATCCTGATGAAGGAGTCAACTATTTCAAGAACACGCTGAAGAAGTACTTTTTGAAAGGTGCGACCAACGTGTATCTGTACAGGCTCCTCAGTTTCTTCAACCATAGAAGGCAGAACCAAGAGTTCCTCATTTTTACCTCAAAAATTGAAATCCTTCTTATGAGATTGAAGGCAGCATGGATGGACTTGATGCCCGTTTTCACGGCACAGTCCCCATCATTTCGACAGTCCGTACAGGACGCAAATGCAAGAACCATTGCTCGACATCAGCAAGCAGCCGGTGTTCGAGCACCGCCTCCAGCCCTGCTCAATGAGGACGATCCAACAGTCCTCAGACAGTATATCCAAGGAATGCATGCAGGACAGACAGCGGGACGCATTTCCCTTCGGGGATAATCTCATTGCACAACTTTTCATCATACAAAGTGAGCTGTCAGATCAGCAAAGAGAAAGACTCACAAGTGCAATGTCACTGAGAAACATCTCACTAGAAAACTACTCCTATGAGATGCTGAAGACGCACTACCATGAACTCTTCATCACGACGAGGACATCGATCCAAGATCCATCCATCCGACCTCAAGGAGGCAACCGAAGCAACACATTCTTCATCATCGAACAAGGTGAATACGAAGGAGAAGAAGGCTTCTGGGTTGAGGATGAAGAAGGACTTGAAGGATTCATGTCAAACAACGATGAAGAGACGTTCTGGGTCCTCGAGGAGAACGATGCGTTCATAGCAAGAAAAGTGTCGGGGCGGAACTTCAAGTTCAAGAAGAGAAAAGGAAAAGGAAAATCAGGAAACAAAAAGGGCAGTCACCAACGAGGTGGCTTTAAACCCTTCAGAAAAAGCGGTTCTGGCGGAAAGGCCAATATGGCCAACGAAAACTATGATCCCTACGACCAGGCATATTGGGGAAAAGGCAAAGGAAAGAAGGGAAAGAAAGGAAAATCAAAATTCCAATATCCCTATGATGGAAACAAAGGTTATCCATCCTATGAGAGTGGCAAAGGAAAGAGCGGACAGGAGAAAGGAAAATCCAAGACGTTCGCAGCCACCGCAGAGAAGACGGAGGAGCAGCCCGCCATCCAGCAGACTGCACCATCCATAGAGCCTACCTATGCCGGTTGGACAGACCAAGACTGGGATCAATCATGGACATGGAACGAACATGGCTGGTACTCATCCCATGAGACATCCAGCACAGGACAAGCGTTAATGGCATTCCATGATGCATATGAGCATCCTGGGAAAAAGGCCATCCACGAGAAGCTGATCCAATCAGATACAGTTTCAGAACACAATCTGTCCGTCACAACAAATCACAGCCTTCTGGCAACAAAGCTGATGGCGCCTGTCATCAACCCTCAGCACAACCCGACCTATGCGATTCTGGACAATGGATGTACCAGATCTATGGGCAGCTGGCATGCAATCCAGCGTTTTACTCAGGCCATCGAACCAATGAAGGACATCATCTCCTATGAGTACATCCCGGCCGAGACCAAGTTCACTTTTGCAAACGGAGAGACCGCCAGGGTAAATTGGACCCTGCATCTTCGATATCACACAACTCCTCCATGCAGTACCAACATCGACGTCCTTGAACAAGGAACTGTACCGATCCTTCTCAGCATCAGCCAGATGCGGAACCTCTACATGACCATCGAGCACACACCTCAATGTGACAAGATCACATGCAAGGCCTTTGGCATGAACCGTCAAGCAGTTCCAGTATCCGGTACAGGACATGCACTCGTCGATCTCGCTGGAGTTGCAAGAGTGAAGGCGCATGGAGAAATTGCTCACAAGGGCCTCATCAACTATGTCTATGACGATGATAACAGCATCAAGTTTCCCTCCGGGGATCTCACCAAGAGCGAAACTGTTTGTGCAGCAAAATCATCCGAGACAAAGGAGGACCTAGCAACTCCTAAGATCATTGGGTCTCAAAAGCAGGACCATTGGATCCTTGACAAGAAGAACAAGCAGCTCATCCGTGTGCACATCACGCCCCGAAAGGCGCTGTTCACACCAAATGGAGCCAAGGAATGTCCAATCAATCCTGATCACACTAGCCGAGAACGTACTACGGAAATCATTCATGCATCCGCAGGTGGAGATCCAGACATTCTAGAAGACAATTGGAGACTTACATCCCAGGCAAATAAACCGATGATTAACCTATGGACAGGTAAGACCATTTTCACCTTCGCGGACAATTCGCTTAAGGACGAAGAAGCAGGTTCAGGATCGGCAGCAGACAGGATCATCGACAAGAGGGGCCGGTCGACTATTGAGCCAGATCCTTTCGCACCATCCTCAGAAGAACCAACATCGCTTCCGCTTGCCCTAGGCAGAATACACAAGCGATTGTCAATTCCCGAAGAGTTGAAGAACTCCACCTGCAGCATCATCACATGACAACAGATCAATTTCGATTTAGAACCCGAGCACCTCATTTGCCGAAATCAACATTCGATCTATTTGACAAGATCCGAAGTGAGTGTGAAGTTTGCCAAGCGGCAAAACATGCACCATCACGAAGCGAAACAAGTGGACTTCGAGCGGACACCTTTGGTGACATGACATTCATTGATCACTGTCAAGTTCCTCTTGGAACAGGAGAACACATCATTGCTTTTGTCATCCTGGATGGAGCAACAACATTGCTCACTGCAGAGGCAGTGACAACTACGCAAGAAGCCGAGAACATCACTGTCCTCAGGAACTATTTTGACCAGTACCACTTGCAGCCCAAATCAGTTGTCGCAGATCAAGCCTTCATGACAGATACATGGGAACATTTCTATCAGTCCCTTGACATCACACCGATATCCTTGGGACCGAATACACCATGGCCAAATCGAGCTGAAGCAGCAGTTCGACTCCTGAAGGCACAACTCAAGATCATGCTAAGTTCCATCAAAGCAGGTACAGCACCTGCAACACTGAAGAAAGTGACATACAGGCAGCTAGTGAAGGCCGCTGCAACTGTCAGGAATCAGACCGTCACCTACGGGGGTGTAACACCATTGGAGCTCGCATTCGGAAGACGACCAGCAGATCTCATCCAACTCGATGTCGCAACACCAACTCAGTTGACGATTGACAGGAATGAAGAAGAGCTGACAGCCATCCAGATCAAGCAGCTGTCAAAGCAAGCTTTCCACGAAGCACGTCAATCCGAAGACATCCGACGAGACCTTGCTCAAAATCTCCGAATGAGTTCAAAGCCTCTTCAGGTGAAGGTTCTCGAGATCTTTGCAGGAAGTGCCAGATTTAGTCAATGCTGTGCACTATCAGGTCTTAAGGTTGGGACTCCCGTGACATCCGCACAGGATTCGATGTAATGACATCCAAGGGACGACACATGGTCATGGAGATCATCAGGGAACAAGCACCTGATGTCATCCTTATGGCACCGGTCTGTGGACCATGGTCAAATATGCAGAACCAACAAGACCAACAAAAGGTTGGGGAAAAGCGGAGACGCTACCTTCCCATGGTTGAATTTGTGGCATCCATTGCGCGATATCAGTTGAAGCACAGAAGATACTTCATCATCGAAAATCCTCAGACATCCAGGATATGGTATCTGAAATGCATGCAACAATTGTTTTCAGATCCATCCGTGACCTGGGGAGATTTCCATTTCTGCGCATACGGACTTAAAGATCCTGAATCTGGGCTCAGAAGTCTCAAGCCCACGAGCTTGATGCACTGTTTACCTTCCGAGGTCATGCGACCGATCTTCAGAAGGTGTAAACAATTTCCAGTTCTGTCAAGCATGAACACCAACCCCTAGAGGGAAACGCTGGTACCTTCGGAAGCAGGACCAAACTGGCACAGGTGTATCCTTACCAGTTCTGTCAGGATCTCGCGCACATCCTCCTACGACACTTGCAGGTGAAACCGCTTGA